ATGCACCTCACCATGTTTAGTATGGTTCAGTTCTTCCTCTTAACTGTTTCATTATGTTGTGGTGTATATGGAGGAGTTTTCTCGTGTATGATGCCTTCATCTTCACAAAATTTGTAAAACTCATGTGATGCGTATTCCCCTCCTCCATCGGTTCTTAATAGCTTCAACTTGCAATTACTCTACCTTTCAACCATGTGTTTAAATTTTTTAATCACCTCCAGCACTTCACTCTTCCTTTTCAGCAGATATGACCAAGTTTTTCGTGTCCAATCATCAATAAACACCACAAAGTACTTGTTGTCCCCTGGAGTTTCTACTTGGATTGGACCACATACATTAGAGTGAACCATCTCCAACTTCTTTTTTTACTTCAGAGGCAACAACCTTTGGAAACTCCCACGCGTTTGCTTGCATTCCACACACTCCTTACATATTGAGTTTGGTATATTAACCAAAGGCATCCCCATAACCATTGTGCAATGACTAAGTTTGGACAAGTCACGAAAATCAAGATGTCCAAACCGCAAGTGCCATAACCATTCTGAAGCATTTTTTTTGTTGCAGCGAAACATTAATGCTTTACAGTATTGGGACAAATTAGCTTTTATCACGAGCCTATTACCATATTTGGCTTACTTATAAACACTAATATCCCTAATTATTTAAGTAATAATATGTTTGAAAAGAAAGTATATATATTTTGATGTGTTATAATGAAAGTAGAAAGGTATGTTTATATTGTTTTGGTGTCACTACAAGAAAATCATTAATTACCGACGGATATGTAGCCGTTAGAAAATGAGTGATTACCGACAAAAATTACCAACAGATTTAAAGTAGTTGTGGAATTTGGTCTTACCGACGGATATATCTGTCGATAAATGAACAATTAATTACCGACGGATATCCATCGGTAAATGAATAGTCAATTACTCGACTGGATATATCCGTAGGTAAATCTGTCGGTAAGTTAACAATTTTGGTAAATGAACAATTAGTTATCAACAGATATATTCATCGGTAAATTAATAATTAGTTACCGACAAATATTACCGATGAATTTAAAGTATATTTTTAAAAATCAACATTAAATTTTAAAAATTAAATATATAAAAATATATAATAATTACTTAATTTTAAATATATTCTAATAAATTAATTATTCATCTAATTAAAAAATTAAATACTTTTTTATTTAATAATTTAATTTAATCATAATTAGATTAATTTATAATAATTTGTTAAATTAAATCATTCTAAAAATAAATATTTAAGTATTTTTAATATTGAAAAATTATTTTAATATAAGAATTTTAATTATATAATAGAAGAAAAAAAAGATAAAAAGAATAAATTAAAATAAATAAATAAAAATTATTTTATATTATTATATAAATAAATTATAAATATTATATTCTGTCATTAAATTACAAACCTATATAAAGAGACCAGCTCATAAATTTGACATCAAATTTTGAAAATTCACTCGATACACACTTTCACGTTCGAACGTCCTCACATCTAACATATAAATATATTTGTATGTATATATTTTATATTTATATATTTATACGGATATATATTTATTTGTATATAAATATAATTTATTGTAAATTATTATCGAGAAAATCTTAATAGCTTAATGGTAAGAACGTCCTCACATCTAACATATAAATATATTTGTATGTATATATTTTATATTTATATATTTATACGGATATATATTTATTTGTATATAAATATAATTTATTGTAAATTATTATCGAGAAAATCTTAATAGCTTAATGGTAAGAATATCGGCCTCCAACTCTAAGGTATTGGAAAAATAAAAAATAATATACTTACTTAGTGACGGTCAATTTAATTTTCGCTTAAGTGAAATAAGAGATAATTATTGTAAACAAAGTTTTTCCTAAGTGAAATTTTATATATTTTGCCTTGATCATGTCTCTATTTCATATCAAATTTTATAACGTTAATAATAATATTTTATAAGTAAAAAAAATGAATAAGTTTTTTTACTACGAGAAAGTCTCTTCATTTGTTGGTTTAAACTTTTTTTTTATTCTTTGAAATATTTTTTAAGTTTTTTTAGTTATATTCAAAAGTTCATACATGTATCATTTATTAATAAACAATTATATTATGGATTTCCATTGAGTAACATTAATCTAACATAAATCGAAGGTTGTGTTTATTTATTTTTAATTATAATTTAATTTAATATAACTTGATGTAATTTCTCAGAGTTAAATAATAAATTCTGTACGTTAAATTTAAAATTGAACTGATCAAAATTATTAGCTACCATCATCATTATTATTATTATTTAAATTAATTGATTATAATTAAATTTATACTTTAAAAATATAAATTATTCAGTTATTTACCTATTGAATAATATAATGTTTTTTTAAAATACATTTGGTCTAACAAAAATAATATATAAAAACTCATACGTTTAAAATATATATATATATATATATATATATATATATATATATATATATATATATATATATATATATATATATATATTCATAGTTTAAAACACAAGAAAAAAACCAATTTAATTTATGTATGTTAAGCAAAAGACATTTATATCTTGTTGGCCTAAATAGGAAAAGAAAATACATTTGTTCAGTGATTGTCAGAACAAATACGAGAGAAGATGATTTTTTTTTAAGAAAAAGTTATGAATAATTATATATTATTATTTTTATGTTAATAATTTTTATTTTTTTAGTTCTTAAAAATAAAAAAAAATCATATAATTTTTTTTAAGAGAAAACTATGAATAATTATAACTTATTTGTTTATATTAACAAAATTTAATTTTTTAGTTCTCATAAAAAAAAGCTTTGTTTCATGATGGTTTTAACTATGATGTTTGAGAATTTATATAATTTATTTTTGTTTTAAAATTTTAAAGGTATTTTTATATATAATTTTTAAAATAATTTTATTTGATAACTATTTTAGACTAAAAAGAAAAATAATATTGAAAGTTGTGATGAAATTTAAAAAAAATAATTATTTAATATATTAAAGACAAAATCTATAATCTATTTTAAAAATAAAAACTAAATTGAATACTCTTCCATGTCTTTTATATACTCTACACATCTCAAGAGTTTACTTTTATATTATTATTATTATTATTATTATTATTATTATTATTATTATTATTATTATTATTATTATTATTATTATTATTATTATTATAGGATTACAATGTAAGGATTGAATATCTTAACCTATTGTGCCTAAATATAAGTTTACAAATTATGCTAATGAGCCTGTATAATAATTAAAAATAAAATCAAACAAAGTAATAAATACATTGTTATATTATCTTTCTAACATTTTAATTCATGAAAATAAAAATAAAATACAATAATAATTTTTGTAATAAAACATCTCATTTTTTTCTCGTATTGTTTAATAAATTTAATTTTTAACTTTATAAGTTATTTATTTTGAATAATAAAATATAAGATTTACATCACTAATCTCAATCCTTTCTAAATATAGTTGATTTTAAATTAAATACAAATAAAAATTAAAACAAAATCTTATCCTTAACTGTAATCTAAAATTAATAAATAATGATGTATTAAATCAATTATGTATTGAAAATGAATAAAAATATAATAAAATTAAAAAAAAATTAAACTTAATAGTGTAAAAATGTATAAATAATTTATTAATTTAAATATTTAAAAAGAATAAAAAATATACAAACTAATTACCCGATTCCGCAATTTAATCTACACGGACTGTAAATTGAAAATGTCTAACCCATTTGGGACGTTTTATATGACGGGCTTGCGGCCCGTTGCCTAAGCCGCCCAGGTCTTCACCCTATGTTCTTACTTTCCTACATGAATCTACTTACTATCTCATTATCTTATTGAAGTTCTTGGAGAGTCATACACACTCTTCAAACTCAATATCAACTCTTCATTCACTAACGTTAATATTTACATAATTAAAATATTTTGTTTTTTAAATTTTAAAAAATTAAAACATTAATAAAATCTATTTTTATTTATTATAGCATCCATTTTTTATATATAATTATTATCAATTTTTTATACAAAATATTAAAGTCATTTTTCAAAATTGTAATAATATACTATTATAATTGCTTAAAAATTTATATAAATGCTTATCTGGAAGCCTAATCATATTTAATAATAATAATAATAATAATTTTATAATATAATAAATATGTATAAATTTTTTTGTCATAGTATTTAAATAAAAATAATAATACAATTTTTACAATAAAATATATTAAAAAATATAAAAATAATTAAAATAAAATAAAAAATATAATAAAATAATTATTTTTTAAAATTAATATAAGATAAAAATAAAAAAAAATTATAATGTATTTTATCTTTTATAAAAATTATATTATTTTTTTGTTTTAATTATTTTTATTTAAATTAATTCTATTCAAAAATTCAATTGATTTTTTTTTAATTTTACTCATTATATTTTATTTAATTAAAATTCAATTATTTTAAAATAATAAACCGAATAAATTGATTTCTAATTAATCGATTAAATCAATTTGGTCTAATTTTTACATCAATGCCAAGATCATAATTTTTAATTTAAATTATTTTTTAAATTATAAATATTAAATAAGTTTTTTAATTTATTTAAAAATTTAAATTAATTACAAAAATATTTTGAGTTAAAAAAAATAAATTAAATAAAAACAATTCATCATACATTTTTTTTGTCAGTCTTCAGTTAATATACAAATTATGTTTAGTAAATACATATAACGAATCCTCTTGATATTTTAAAGTGACGCTATGGAAAAAATAAAATTTTAATTTGTTGTTAATTTGAAATTGAAAAAAAAATGATGTTTAATTTATTTATTTTTGGACAAAATTTGCAGTGTGTCCATCTAATTTTCATAATGCAATATGATTGAAGCTATCCATTTTACACAGCTGGCAGAAAGATGTGGTGTGGCCATGTCTAATTGGATCCAAAAATCCTATAAGGCCTCAAAACCGACAAGTTCGGCCCACTCGGTTCCTCCCAATATTCTAAGAAAATCGAAACCCCAAACGGCATACATAACACTCTCCCAAACTACACTCTCCACACAAGCACTCACTCACTCACACACGGCGCCGTATCGCTCACACCACGCCAAAACCAAACCCGCTCTTTCTCTCTCCGCCGTCAAAAACCCTCCCTCCGCGGCTCCACCGTACACCCTCGATTCAAGCGGAAGACCAGGAGACCGACCAACTGCAGGAGGTGCTTGGTTGCAAATGGCGACCCCCGCAAGCCCTGACGTCGCCGATGGCCCCGTGATGAGCCTAATCAACAAGCGCCTCCGCGCCCTACGCAAGAAGCTGAACCGCATCCTCGCCATGGAAGAGTCCGTCTCCCAGGGCAAACCCTTGAACAAGGAGCAGGAAGAGGTTCTCCGCTCCAAACCCTCCGTTGTCGCCATCATCGACGAGTTCGAAAAGCTTCGCCAGCCCCTCGCCTCCGCGCTAACCGAGGAGCTCCACGGCGCTGCGCCGAACCCGCGGGGCGCTGAAACCCCAACCCAAACCCTAGCCGAGAGCTCCGGTTCCTTAGAGCGGCCGCACTCTGACGACGTCGTCGTGGAGGACCTCCTCAACCTGCTCTACTTCGGCTCGCTCTTCGATGTCAAGAGCGACTTCGCCTCCACCATGCTCACCCGGACGCACGAGCGCGGCTGCTGCTTGACCTACGACTACGTCACCGACGACGCCACCGATCTGCTCGGCGAGAAGGACTTGGATTCGATCTCCGCCTTGCGCGGTCTGCTCGTCTCGCGGCCCGCCGATTCCAGCTTCTCTCACAAGAACGCGCTGCACCGCTGCGTGGAACACGCCAAGCTTTGGCTCGCGAAGTCGGAGCAGCCCATTGGGCCTGATGCTGATGTTACTTGTATTGTTCTATTCTATTGCTGTGTTTGGTGTTTTGTGTGTTGGTTGTTAATTTGTTACTTAGTGTTTTTTGTCTTTTGGTTTCTAATTTTGCAGATGTTGGATTGCGGGAGAAGTTGAATAAGATTATGTCTTCTGAGTACTTCACTACTACTCCTGAAATGAAGGCTCCGGTTGAAGTTGCCGCGGCTGCTGCTGGGGGAAATTATGTTTCTTTCCATGTGCCCGTGCATGGGTCTGTGGTTCCGGTTGAAGTGGAACAGCCTGTTTTTCAGTCTCATGAGAAGGTATTGTAATAGTGTCGCCGGATTGATTGTTTTTATAATGTTTTTGTTTGAATGTGCGTTTATTGTTTTGAATTGGTATCATGGGAATTCAGCTAAGTTAAGTTCACGACTTGGATGTTTTTGTGGGCTTGTTGGAAAAATAAATAATTTTTTGGACTGTTTGGTGGGTGAGGTGCCATAGCTGTCAATATTAGTTCAGTTGGCCGGACAAAATGTTGTTTGAGAGTGATACAGCTTTTGTTGAAAGGTAATTTTTTGTTTATGGTTGTACAGGTAAGAGGGCAGGGATTAGAAGGATGCTTGCTGATTTGTTTGTAGTAACTCTTCTGCTGATAAATGGGGTTAGGGAAAAATTAAATTAAAATTTCAATGTCTTTCTTAGTTTTGAAGAAAACCCTTAAATTTCTTACGTGATGTTACTGCTTTATAGATGAATGCATATAGATGAATAAATATGAACTTCCTGTGCCCAACAGAAAGAGTAGAAGTTGGTAAGTTACTCATTAGCTTCAGATACGATAGAATTGCTGCGGTTGGGGGTTTGATATATATACTGATAGAGAGACCTATGAATTAGTTGTTTTCTATCATGAATAATGATTTCTCTTAGTAATGTAGAATTATGCTGTAGACGTATATGTGATAATCACAACCCAGACTTATGCAATAAATATTTGTGCCCAGTTCAATTTTGAATCAGCACTTGAAATGTGAGGAAACACCTTTTAGTAGTTATGGTACTGTGTAAATATACACATCTTCAAGTAGATTGTGATTATGCATATAATGATTCATTTGAATTTTGTTCTACACAGTAAATCTGCAATATGTGCAGAACAACAACAACGCAAGCCTTATCTCACTAGGTGAGGAATGCCTGCAAACCTTGGCAAAATTTTATTAACATTTAGAACCATTATTGTTATAGAAGTATGCATGAGAAGAGGCTCTAACCACTCTCGTTCCTGTTGCTTATGGATGGCATTTCATGGAGGCATGTCTAAATATTTTCTGTTTATGTGATTTTTCTCCAATATGCTGGGAACAATCTTTTGAAGTGGACAAAATTGATTTTACAGGATTTATTTGTTTTTGTCATTAGGTTAGATCGAAGAGACCTTGTTTCAATATTTGTTTTGAGTAATTAAATTCGTATCTATGAATGTTGAGCCTTTGATTATAGGCAGTGTTGTTAAAAAGTTTCCATGGTTGATTGTGGTGACAAATTTCTCACTGGCTGCCATTTTATGGCAGTGCGTGGATTTTGTGTTATGGCCACTTTTTATGTGGTAGCCATGGTGAAAGCAGTGGTCATAGTGGAAATGTCTGAGTTGAGAGAGGTGAGCTGGTGGAAATAAGATGAGACAAAGTAGAGATATTTTGGGTTTTATGTCATTTTACCTGATCCACTAGTTATAAATTTTAAAACCTTAAAAGCATGACCAACTCCAGGTCCAAGCTTTAAATACCCATACCCTAGAATTCCAACGCATAGCCCAAACATAAAAAATTTGATCCCCACCCCAAAAAAGTTGCGAGCAATGACCTGACCCCCTGGCTCCTCCATGATGGCAAATGGCTCTAACATTGACAAATGATTATTACCCCTTAAATGTTTGTGTCCGTCCTGTAATAACCTAGAACAATTTCCGGTTTCTACTCTTCTCCAACACCCTTGACCTGGTTCTCACTCCCAACTATTATGTTCATTTCTCAGATCTTGTTTCTCTCTGCCTCAACCTTGCCCTTTTCTGACTTAGCCATCCGTCATCCTCTTTGTTTTATCCACTTTATGTTTATAACAAATTGACTATCTTTGCATTGCAATTTTGTTTTGCAATTACAGGCACACTTGCCATGTTTCCTAACATATGCTACAACATCATCTGACATTTGTATATGGTAAATTTTTGGCAGTTTGCCATTGACAACAATAATTATAGAACATGCTTAAGTTGACATATTTGAGTTCTTTTGCATTGATTGATATTGTATATTGTGGTACTTGTTTTTTTATATTGAAATCAAAACCTTTTTTTATGGCAAATGTTTTGCTCCTAGCTTCCAGGTATAACTGTTGTTGCATTTCCTGTTTCTAGACAGTGAGTTAGTGTTGATTTGGTTAAATGGAAAATCAGGTGTGCTACCTGTCTATGTCCAAAATGATTATAGAGGGCTTAGGAGAGAACCCCCTTTGGAGTGCTACATACTTGCACAACATTCTAAAAGCCTAGATGGTTACCGGGACAACTGATTATTCTGTGTTCCATTTGTTCCTGTTGCTATTTACATAGAGATATATAATTTATCAAATAACATGTTTAGCTTACCAAGGGCCATGATGTCAATATGTATACAGTTTCATCCCACAAAGAATTAATTTGTATAGTCAAACTTCCTTAGACCAAAGGGACACAATGCATCTCTTTTTTATGCTAAATATATAATTGATTACATAGGCATAATTCATATGTGTAGTGTAATGTCCCCGTGATTAAGTGCAACTTGGAGAAACAACAAAGCCACACTGGCTTTGACTCCAAATCTTTTGCACTTCAGAGGAGAAAGATAAGCTTGTGGCCCAGACCCTTAGTTCCTTCTAAATTAGTGCATTTTCCTTTAATCAAGTTGGATGACAATTCTTAAATCAAATTGGATGACAAACAAAGTGTTGAGTTAACAAAGATTCGTTGCTTGGATGTAAGCTTAAAGTTTGATGATAGAGTTCACTATAATGTACAACAAGGCTTATTTTCAATTCTCTAAACTTTTTATCTATGCAAACCCCATAGATTATGTCAGGTCTGGTGTCTTTGAATTTGTTTGTATATCTTAGAAAAATAAGAAATTTGCTTCAGCAGTTTTTTAGTATACTGAACATTTTGGTTTATCTAGCTGTTATTTGTACGTAATTGTGGGTTTGACAGTTACTGTGTCTTTTATTATGTAGATTAGGGAGGGTGTTGATTATTCAAAGTGTAGTCTGTGTTAAGAGTAGTAGTCTTTTTCATGTGTGTACTAGCCTTCTAAGTTCTTATAGTGTCAGAACCACCTTGAGTAAGAACCTTAAACAAGTATCTTGTGGATTACACATACCAAAACCTATTTGATATTCTCTTTTTTCGAAGATTATGGTCTCTCTGGTCCAAGAATTCTTAGGAAGAATGACACTCACTTTTGTTTGATCAATTCCGAGCTTAACGGCTTGGAAATTGTTTTTAGTTTTAATAATTCATTTCTATGGGTTGGATTTAGTACGGGGAGTCTGAAAGGGTAGAATCATAAAAAATGTAAGTTTTCAAACCCTGAGTTTCGGTTACTCCAATTGAAATTATAGTTGTGGAACAAATATTGGGTGCCATGACTAAAACTATCATTTTTATTTTATGCACTCTTATCTATTTTACCTTTTCTTTTAGACAACTTTTATTGTCTTTATAAGTATAATTAAATTTGGTTGGTTGCTTTAATATTATAATTGTTGGTTTTGTGAAAAATATGTAGTTTTCTTGTCTTGATAAATTTGATACTGTGCTCTTTGTAGAATGAAGTAACCTCAAATTTTCAAGGACATGGATCTGAAGATGATCAGACTGATCCTGAAAGAGAGCTTCAGAAGGTTTGTTTAATTTGGTTAGATATCTTCCTGATATTGAAGTAGATGTGATGCTGAAGATTTTTCTCACTGCAGGATGTAATAGAAGCAGAAAATGTAAATGAAGTGGTGTCTGTTCAAACAGAACAGACCAACCCACAAGCCGATACAGAGCTCAATGACCGAGATTTCGAGACAAAGGAGCAGCAGTCATACCCTAAGAGGGGTTATCAGAACCATAGAGGTGGTCGTGGTGGAGGTGGTCGTAGGGGTTATTCAAATGGACGCGGAGGGCGAAATGGTGGTAGAGGAGGCTATCAAAACGGGCGCAACCCATACTACGATCAACCTGGAAATTATTATCAAAGGAACTATTATAATAGAGGTAGAGGTGGCAGAGGCGGTGGATATTACAACAACCATGGTGCTGGTGGTCAAGTTAATCATGTGGCAGGTGATGTGGGGGTGCAATCATGATTAATTATGGGTTGTTTATAGTGCTTATTACTGTCACTAGTTGGGTGGTAAACCAATTTTTATTCGTCTGGCATGAAACATGTTTTGAACAAATTTTGTTTGGCACTTGAACGTTTAGACTCCACCATTTTGTAGTCCAGTGGTTCCAAAATCTCACAGGAAGCAATCAGGCGAATATCTAATGATCTGGTTCTGGGATTTCTTGTTTAGGTAGATAGATGTTACCATTGCAGTTTAATTATATATTGGAATCTACTTCTTGGCACAATTGCAAAAGAAGTGCCTGTTCCAAAAATTTGAGGGTTTTTTAATTAAAATAGTTTTTGTAAATTGTAAATTATAAATAATATTTTCATAATAAGTAAAAGTTAAAACCTATTTAGATAGATTGTCTCTAAAAATAATAAATGGCTGGTTTGGTTCTTAAGAATTATAATTTCTTAGAATGTCTATTTCTAAGTTTTAATCACTATTCATAATTTGATCTGGAGAATTTTTAGATATGATTTTTGATAGGTTTGCTTTTTGTAGTTTTAATATGAATCTAATATTATTTCTAATACCACGTTAACATGTTTAATATCGTGTATAATATTTAAAACGTCTAACATTTATTACATCAAAATTAGACGTGGTTTGGTTCTTATTTTAGTCTAATATAAAACATTAAATAACATAAAATAATTTTATGAAACTGATTTTTATTGTTTTATTTTTATAAAATCAATATTATCAAACTCGATTGGTAGACCAGTATATTTATATGAAAAATATTAATTCAATAAAAATATTAGCATGATAATATTAATTTCATATTATTAAAATAAGTAAGTTTATACAATAATACATAAATATAATATAAATTCTTAAAATATAAATTTTTAAAGTGATTATTAAAATAAATAAGTTAAATAATAAATCCTTAAAATATAAATTATTAAAGTGATAATATGATAATGAAATCCTAGAAACATCTATTTTATTTTCTTCTTAATATTTTTATGGTTTATTTTTATTTTCCCCTTTCTTTTCTCTCTCTCTCTCTCTATATATATGAAATAATTTGAATAAGAATATTTTTAAATTTCAATCTTTATAAAATAATCAAAAGAAAAATTAACTCAGCAATAATATTACACAAATTTTAAAAAAATGCCACAAAAAGAAAATAAGGTGTGGTGGTAATAAGAAGAAATAACTAACAGTGTCAACTATGCTGCCAATGACGATAACTACAAACGATACCAATGTTAGTAGAGACGATCAATACAATGACTAGCAATATGAACAACGAACAACGTGCGAAAACAAAGATTTACAACGACGCGCAATAGAAAGCAACAAGCATGGACGAATAATGCAAATAATAGCCAAAAACAAATATTTATGATCTAATGTTCGAAATTTGAAGAACAACTCGGGTAAGTGTGGTTTTTCCTGTTCTTCAATTTTTGTGTCAAACTCAGAAATTTGATTCAAGTCCTCCAAATTTATACCGACTTTATTGAAAAATGAATCTATTTATCATAATTATAATTAAAATATTATTTTTTAAAATTTTTCAAATAAAAATATTTTTTTATATTCTTAAACAAAATTATATAATTTTATTGTTAAGGTTTCAATATAAAATTAATTAAAATTATGTAGAGTAGTTTAAAAACGAAACTTGATGGATTAATTGTACTGAACTTCAACATGTCTCTTTCGAGGAAGTTAAGAAATAAAGAGTACTTTTGATCCATAAAAAAGAACAATTTTTGACCAAAAACAATAATAAAAAAGAGGGTAGGCTTTAAATCTGATACTATGTTAGGTTTCAATGTAAAATCAAATGGTAACACGTGTAGTAATTTACCAGGTATTTAAATAATATAAAATGAGATGAAACTTCTAACATTTATAATGAAAAATTATAATATAGAATATAATTTTAAAATATTATAAAAATTAATACAATTAAATCATACAATTATTCTTAAAAAATTAATAGGTTAGTTAAAAAATTAACTTAAAAACATGTATTTTAATATAATAAGTGAAGAAGAGATTGATTAAAAAGAAAGTTGATATAATTTTTGAAAATAGAATTAAACTATTTCAATAGGTTGAATTTTGATTTCATTACTAACACTAACTTTTGTAAGAAATGACTGTGTTTATGTTAATAATAATTGAACACTCCATTATTTTATACACTTGAATTACACTCATTATATACACATCCTCTTATCCTTCTATGATTGGGTTCTGAGTTCAGCTTTTATGGTTGATATTACCTCAACAAGAGGGTTTAATTAGTAACTTATAAACTCCAAACACCACTCTACTTTAACAAACTAAATTAAAAAATTCAAATTTATCTCAAACGTAAGTTACATATCTGAAATTTAAATTTAAATTCTTCAAATATGTCTAAAATGTATTTCTTTGTGCTAAATAATAAACCAAGATGAAATTAGTTCACACGATATTCTATATCAAAGACGTTGATGTAAGTTTTAGAACCTCAATGGGAGGCTATTAATAATAGATGCCTTTCATATTAATTACCAACTCTTATTTAAAGACAAACATCTTAGTCTTTGATATCTTCTATTCACCTTACCAGTTAGGATTCACTCAAATCTCACAAACAAACAATGTTGCCAAAATTCCTTTAGCTTGAAAGCATGAGAGTTTTTTTTTGTTTTTTTTTGTTTTTTTTTTTAACTTTATTCCTTTTCACTATCATTATCCTGTTTCCTTTTATGTAAAAATATGAATATTTTATTTTAAGAATTAGATTCTGGCGTCGCCAAACAGATTATATTCCATGATGGTTTTCAACCTCAATGTGAAAAAAATGCATATTTGAATTGAAAAAAAAAAACTATTTTGGCGTTAATTAAAATATTTAATTACCCTATTTGATTATTATATTGTTTTTAGTTTTTTAAAATTTTAAAAATAACTTGCGTTTGAGACAATAAACGATTTTATAAACAATTTGTTTTTCTGAAAAAAAAAATTTGTTTGCTAATATTTAAAAATTTATGATTTAGTTTCAATAATATTTTTTCTTCTGGTCAACTTTATATATACTTTGTTTCTTATATAAACTTTGACATTTTTTAATCTAATAAATTAATTATTTTATTTTTTTTGCATTTTTATCCAAATAAAATTAATTTTCATTATATCAATAATGTATATTGGTTAATCACTAAAATAATATGTTTTTTTTTCGTTGTCTCGAATACACTTTAAATAATCGTTGAAATAGTTAGAAGTAAATAAGGTCAAAATACAGAAAATAAAACTGCATCAATCAACTTTTTACTTTAATATATTAATTTTAATATTATACACAGTTGAATAATAGAATAACAAATATAAAAAGAAAAGTAATATATATGTTATATTATATATTAAAAAAAAATATATATATATATATATATATATATATATAATATCATATTATACAAAATGTTAACTATTAAATAAAAAATATATATATAACTTTTAAAAGTTGACCCTTAGAAAGTATTGAACACTCAATTAAAAACAATTATTGAGAGAAATAATTATCGATCTCTTTATTAATTATTGAAAGAATATTTGATCACTACTTTAACATTAAAGGGGTAGTGGTTCTTATATTTTTACTTTACTTTTAAATTCTTTATTCATAGGTGCATATCAAAAGTTTTTAAAATTCACTATTCAGATCTAGAAACGAAATAAATAGTGTAAAATAGATAAAGTAGTATTTTATCTAATTTAATTGAAAAGATCCAATTAAATAAAACAAATTCAATCCAATATAAAACTCACAAATGTTCACCCAAATTTAGACTTGGAAATTATCACTATCATACTATTCACTGGAATTAGATCTTATTGTGATACAACAACATAGCTCTGCACCAACAAAAATAAATATGATCTATTTTACATGCACAACTCAAAGGTCAATGCATCCTTCGTCACCAATTTATTCATCTTGAAATCTTGCTTTTAAATTCGTTCAATAAAAAGGTTTTTCATTCATTTATTCATCTTCCATCAACTACTTCTAACTTTTTCTCACGAATCCTATTTTGGACGATGGTGCCGATATATCTATCTATCCCATCCCATCCAGAAGAGAATGTTGAAATCCAAACATTCGGTGACCAACAATACAAAATCATGAGGTGACTTAAACTAAAAATAATAATTTGATTGTTGTTGTACATTGTTTAAGAGTCGAGATCAAGAATAATTTATATACATCATTCTCTCTTAACCTATTAATGCGCCTTATAAAGACATGATAGAAAAAAAAACAAAATATAAGAATATAACGTGAAAACTCTAAAATAAATAAAAAAATCATGACCATTATTTAATGATAATCAAAGAATAATATGTAAAAATTTTTACAACACATAAACAACTCTTTCAACACAATAATATAGCGTGAAAACTCCAAAACTGAAATAATATAGCGTGAAAACTCCAAAATTGAAGAAAAACCATAATTATTATCTAATGATAACAAAAGAATAACACTATGTAAAAAATTTTACTGAAGAAAACTACGACCATTATCTAATGATTAAACTAAGACCATTATATAATAATAACCAGATAATAACATTATCATATGAAAATTTTTACAACATATAGACAACTCTCTCATGTCCTTTGACTTCAGATACACTCACACTCTCCAAATTAAGAATTTAAACTAAACCTCACAACACTCTATTACCCATTCTCTCTAAAGTAAAAATTTAAATTAAACCCCACAATACTCTATTACTAGAGTACAAGAAAAGTTAAATACAAAATTAAAGTATTTGTGACTGGAACGAGAAACATCATGAATTTTAAGGTCATTATATAAGTACTATCACCCACTCTTTTAGTTATCCAATATGATGTACGACTTTTTAAAATGTACTATTTTTATCAACCAAGAAAAAAGTATACTAAAATAGACAATACATCAACTATGAAAATTGACCCTAAAAATATTATTTCGGGACAACATTTGAAGATGAAGGTGCGATTCTCTTGTAAATAGTGTCCTAACTTGGTATATTGGTGCTTTACGTGGATGTACAACCAAATGAATATACAATGTAATAGGTTGGAAGACAAAGTGAAATATATATATATATATATATATATATATATATATATATATATATATATATATATATATTTTATAATATTCAAGTTTCAATTTAGAATTTCATGTAAATTATCAAACCAAGGTGAATTATAGTGGTAAAAAATAGTTAAAGTTTATTTATAAGATAGTACTTTTATTTACTAGGTAACTTTTGTTTTTAATATTTCTTACCAATATTTGAACTTATACCTACAAATAATTCATGAGATATTTTGTAGGCACTATTATTTTAATACGTATTAATTATCTCCCTTTTATTTTTATCTTAAAGTAGATACAATATAATTGTTTATAAGTTGTTTAACTGAATTAATCACCAGACAAAAAAATTAATGAGATTGCTTATAACTGATATTGTTTAAGAAAAGAAAATAATTTAAATAAAAAATAATGAAAAAATGTTTTGAATATAAATTAAGTAAATTAGAGTAACTTTAGCAGTGATTCTTTTCTTGTGTTCCTAAAGTAGCAACTCACTTCTTTTCAAGTTCGGGTACTGGAATATAAAATGATTTGGTTTTTGCGTGCTTATCTTTCTTTACTTTACTGTGACCTTTCACCCAGAAGAATTTTTAGTTAATTAATTATTTAACTCATTTTTGGTGTGGAAATCATAAATAAATATCTGTTCTAATTTGTAAACCTTGTTGTGAAAATCACTATTTCCTCTGAAAGGAAAAAGAATAAACAGAAAAGTAATTATATTTCCCACCACCACTATTAATATATAGCTCTTCACTCTAAAGAATGTGATTCGTTGTTTTGTCGGGTGACTCCATTGCTTAAGAATATGATGAAAATTAATAATATTTCCCACACCACAACTAACTTTGTCACTCTATTTAAGGTCCAAATGTTCACACACAAACTTCACTCATAGTAAATCTCAAATCATATTTTCTTTTTTATCCCATAAAGCTGCATTGTTTGACATCATGGGAGGCAACTTTTCCACTTTTGAGTTTGTTGAAAAATCGTCATACTCATCATCTTCATCATCGCTGATCCTGACCTTCCACTCCACTGCTAAATGGAAGGCACACTTTGATGCCTCCAAAGAAACTAACAAACTGGTAAGTTTCTTATAAAATGAGCTATATAACTCATGAATTATCAAATTATGGGTTGTGAGACCATTAATTAATGCTATCTTTTAATCTGATAAAGATGGTCATCGACTTCACTGCTTCGTGGTGTGGACCTTGCAAATACATGGACCCAATAATTAAAGAATTTGCTGCCAAATACACAAACGTGGAGTTCATTAAGATTGATGTTGATGAGTTGATGGTATGATGCACATAATTTCATTCACAGTATATACCTTCATATGTACGTAATTATTTATAGAGTTGAATTTTCATTGATAAGATATATAGCAATCATATTTTACACCATAAACTATGAGCAGATAATGATATGCACCTTTTTGTTAAAAGAAACATTTGTATTATACTGATAGAAATATATGTGTATATATGGAAACAGGAGGTGGCACAGGCTTTCGAGGTTCAAACAATGCCAACATTTATACTAATAAAGAAAGGGAAAATAGTGGAAAAGGTGGTAGGAGCCAAAAAGGAGGAGCTGCAGAAACTGATTGAGAAACGCAGAAATTAACCACTCAATGCATGCATGATATCTATCTACTGTAATAATAAAGTACTAGGGGATTTTGTAATATATATATATATATATATATATATATATATATATATATATATATATATATATATATATATATTGATGTAAGGTGTTGCTGTCTGCCATGAGCATGACAATGTAATGTGTAAATCTAGCTGTGCTACATGTCCTGTATGCATGGATGCTTATTTTAATTCCAATAAGTTTGTATTTTGGTATATATGTGCTTTAAACGGATATTTTATGTTTAAGTTATAGTTTGTTTACGATAAACTTCTAAAAAAAAATGAAATGATATTTTTTTAAAAAGTAAAAATTAATTTTGTTACAATTTTCTTTATATTAGATTTTTCAGAAACATTATTTTTATTCATAAGCTAATTTTGATTTATGAACTAATTATTTGATTTGATTCTTCAAATTGAAATTATATCAACAGAGTCTCTCAAGTATCATAGTTATGTAATTTTAATTCTTTTGTTAATCAAAATTTTCTTGTCACATTGACTAAAAAATATTATATATATATATATATATATATATATATATATATATATATATGTCCTATAATTATATAGTTAAAATATCTAACACAATTAGAATTTCAAGGAGACTAAAATTTCACATTTGTGATACCTAAAAATCCAATATAATTGGATTTGAGAGATTAAAACGAGAATTAACCTATTTGATAAGAAAACTGCATATTTGAATATATATATATATATATATATATATATATATATATTATAATTATTCATTAATTTCTGTTTTATATTTCTTTATTCTATAATTTAACCGGATAAAGGTGATATATTTATAATATAAAATTATATTATTCTCTTCTTATCCTTTATATTTTGAGTTTGATTTTCGATGCATATATAGAGATTTCAGGTAAAAGATAATAAGTGGCAATAAATTGTCGTAGAGATGCCTGAAGATTATGGGCTTCAGGTCCCTGAGTTCACTTTATTCGGTGTATAAACTTTTCTTTTCTTTTAATTGTACGGTATTATATATCTCGTTCTGTAACTGGTTTTAGGGGGAAAGGAAATTCAAAATATATTACTGAATTCTAGGTGGGTGAAGTTGTAAGTTCTACATAATTGACATCATAATCATAAACTTGTGTACTTCACACTGTCTCATTTATGTAAACTCTTTAACCTAATTCATACCATATTTTAAAAATCTAATAATTTACTTACACTACTATAATTTTTCGTATTTTAAGAGTTTTGTATAAAAATTAGAATGAAATAACCTTCTCGTAAATTTATATTGTAAATTCTTCAAAAAGATATCCATGAAATAACTACTTTTTTTCTGTGCTGTGATGAACCTAAACCACTGTCAGAAAGAAGATGCCTTATGGCTAGCCGCAATTTAGCTAGTGAGACAGCACATTGAGTTTGACTTGAAAAAAGCTACGGCATTTCATTTTATTTGGTGCAGAAAAATATCTTATTCGAAACTTTTCCCTCTATGCATAAATATATTATTCATGCCCATTTTGGGCATCCATTTTGTTCTGTTATTTGTGGTTTAGATTACATCGTCCTACTTTTTCTTTTTGGTGGATGGAAGTATTACTTTGAAAGTTTGATATGATATTTATGGTTGAATACAATGCTGGTTTCAAGATCATTATAAGGGCTAGTTGGTAATTTCCCTGCGGAGACCACCAAATGCAAGCCACAAAACCTGTTCCCAGCTATCACTGTTATCCACCCTCACAGTATTACTATTTTAGATGAAGAAAGAGAGGGCGAGGAGACCACACTATTTATGTTAGAATCCAAACATGAAGTCGAAATTTCCCGTTGAGTGGAAATAGAAAAGTGATTATTAAGTAACAAAGTTTCGTCATTTTAATATCTTAAAATTTTGAATATAACATAATATCATATTTTTATATGATTAATTTATATATACTTGTCAGCATCCCCGGTTTATTCATATAAATTTTCGTGCCAAAAAGTCTTGAAAATAATTTTAAATAAACGAGTCCGTTGTGTTGAAAAATAATATAAATAAGGTAATATGGATCTTTGTATTAAAAATTTTCTTGAAAAAAAGTTGCAGATAAATAAGTGTTGATGTATTAAAAGTATTTTTGATAAGAGTTCCTGATAAATGAATCTCATTATGTTTAACAAGAATATAAGATAAATAAGACCACTGAATCTTATATTGTAAATTTTGATATAGAAAGTCTTCGTGACAAGAGTTTCATATAAGTGAATACGGGGCAAGACGTAGGGGTTTTGCCTTCCCGATCCTCGTTCCTAACTTTTTTAACCATCTCTCGTCCTCGTTCGATTCTCGCGGGGTTGAAAATTAAGTATTCATCCCCGTTCCAGTTGAGTTTTGAGCTTCTCTGCCCCCATCATGTCTCCCATCTATATTATTTTTAAAAAGATAATTATATTTATAATAAAATAATTTTATTATGTATTTTTTATATATAAATAAATATTTATAATTTTATAATTTATAATTATTATTAATTAAATATATATTTTAATTTATTATATTTATATTAAAATATGTATGTAAAAGAAAGATTTAATCATTTTTTATTTATATATATATATATATGTAATATTTATAACATTATTATTATTATTATTATACTTGTATTCAAATATTTGATTACATATATAAGTTAATTTATTTTTAAGTTGTCATTTAAAAATATGAAATATATAGTTTACAAAGAAATATTTAATAAGTTAATCCTTATTTAATTAGTTTGAAGTAATAAAAATTTAAATTATCAATTTTTTTAATCCTTTAAAATACAATTATTTTATTAGGATAAAATTTGATATATGATAAATAAGAACAATAGATAAAAAAATATGATATAATAAAACCTAATAAATATAAATTATAAATAAAATAATATTAGTTACTATTAAGATTTATGTAAAATATTTAGAAAAAGACAAATAAGAAAAAAAAATTAATTTTGTGTTGATCAAATTGGTTGAAAAAAAAGTGATTAGCGAAGTTAATGAAATGTGAAAAATTGAAAGGTAAGAGTGAGAGAATAATGTAATAAATTAATTTATATAAAATATTAAAAAAGACAAAAAAAATAGGTAGAAGAAAAGTAAAAATGGTAAAATATAAAAAAATAACCTTATATATAATAGAAAAAGAAATATTTTTAAAATATTAATATTTTAAAATTTAAATTTAAATATAAAGTTGGAACTGAACAGGGTCGGGGTGGGGATTGCATTACCCATCCCGGCTCCCAAATTTTGAAAGGGGAAAAACATGAACCTGCCCCTGCTCCCGATCAACTCGATTTTTTCTTGTCAAATTCAGGATCGGAACGCGTCGATTCCCACAGGTACAAATTTAATTATCATCCCTATTCATTATATTAAAAGTTGGTATAAATAACATCACTATTATATACTTGTGGTTACAAAATATTTATAATATTCATATTCAAAAGATGTGAATGAACACACTTAAGAAATTGTTAAAATCATACATTGAATACGAATAAAAAAATTGAATAAATTATAAACAAAAAACACTTTTAATTTAATTTCTTAAGATTTTAAACTATACGTGGCTCATATTTTATTCATATATACATTGTACATAAAATAAATTTTATTTATAAATTTTGTAGTGTTATTCTCTAATCTTAATAAGAAAAATGGTTAGGAGAAGATGGCATAAAACCAATTTAAAATGTGCTCTATACTCGGAGAATATTTCTATGTTCGGCCGAGAATTACTGAGAAAGATTGTATTTTTATCCTTCATGATTGACAGTCCAAACATTAAGAATGTGCACTACAAAAAAAAAGCCTATTACCTACGGAATATTACCTACGGATACAAATCCGTAGGTAAATTTTACATTACCTACGGATATTACCCACGGATAAAAATCCGTAGGTAAATTTTACATTACCTACGGAAATTACCTACGGATAAAAATCCGTAGGTAAATTGTACATTACCTACGGATATTACCTACGGAATTTTATCCGTAGGTAATTATCCACTACCTACGGATATTACCTACGAATATTACCCACGGATGAAAATCCATAGGTAAATTGTACATTACCTACGGATATTACCTACGGAATTCTATCCGTAGATAATTATTCATTACCTACGGATATTATCTGTAGGTAATGTAATCCGTAGATAATTCCGTAGATAATTACCTACGTAATTACTATCCGTAGGTAAAGTGTACATTACCTACGGATATTACCTACGGAATTCTATCCGTGAGTAATTATCCATTACCTACGGATTATAATCCGTAGGTAATGTCCGCAGTGCATTACCTACGGATTATAAATCCGTAGGTAATGTCCATGAGTGCATTACCTACGGATTATAAATCAGTAGGTAATTACACGAATGCATTACCTACGGATTATAAATCCGTAGGTAATTACCTACTACCAAATTATACTTATATTAATCCGTGTATAAATATATAAATATATATAATAATATAAATATATAAATATAAAATATATAATATATATATAAAATATATAAATATATAAATATAAAATATAATATAAAATATATAAATATATAAATATAAAATATAAAATATATAAATATATAAATATATAAATATATAAATATATAAATATATAAATATATAAATATATAAATATATAAATATATAAATATATAAATATATAAATATATAAATATATAAATATATAAATATATAAATATATAAATATATAAATATATAAACATATAAATATATAAATATATAAATACATAAATATATAAATATATAAATATTTAAATATTTAAATATATAAATATTTAAATATTTAAATATATAAATATTTAAATATATAAATATTTAAATATTTAAATATTTAAATATTTAAATATATAAATATATAAATATATAAATATATAAATACATAAATATATAAATACATAAATATATAAATACATAAATATATAAATACATAAATACATAAATACATAAATACATAAATATATAAATACATAAATACATAAATATATAAATAGATAAATATATAAATATATAAATACATAAATATATAAATACATAAATATATAAATATAAATATATAAATATATAAATACAAATATATAAATGTATAAATATATAAATATATAAATATATAAATATATAAATATATAAATATATAAATATATAAATATATAAATATATAAATATATAAATATATAAATATATAAATATATAAATATATATAATATATATAAATATAAAATATTTATATTTTATATATATTTATATATTTTATATTTATATATTTTATATTTATATATTTTATATTTATATATATTTTTTATATTTATATATATTTATATATATTTATATATATTTTATATTTATATATATTTTATATTTATATATATTTTATATTTATATATTTTATATTTATATATTTTATATTTATATATTTTATATTTATATATTTACACTGGATAAATATAAATATAATTTATTTGTAAATTATTTTCAAAACAACCTAATAGCTTAGTGGTTGGAGTATCAGCCTCCAACTCAGTGATCTGGGTTCGAATCCTGCCAATGACAATTCCCTTAATCTAATAATAATTCAAAGTTTCGAAAATATAATAAATAATAAAAATATAATATAAAGGGGAGGGGTTCTAGGTAATAATAAAAAATAAGGGAGGGGTTTGTAATAAATAAAAATATTTTATTAAGGTAAGTGCATTACCTACGGATTATAAATCCGTAGGTAATGTCCACGAGTGCATTACCTACGGATTATAAATCCGTAGGTAATTACCTACGACCAAATTACCTACGGATTTTCTACGGAAAGAAATCCGTAGGTAAAGTGACATTACCTACGGATTTTTGTCATTACCTACGGATTTTACCCGTAGATAATAAGCATTTTTTTTGTAGTGGTGGTCTATTTTATGAACCCAACTTTAGGTATTAGGTATATGGTATTCGAGTACTCACTACTACCATGGCAGTTAGCAAAGAATCCTATATACGTTTTCAAAGGTGATTAATTCTTTGTACTTTTCTAATCCTATAATAATGAGGGCTTCCCTTAGTGTTTTCAATCATCCAAACCAGTAAGTAGCAACACCTGTTCTAACTAGTGTTATACATACAAATAAACTTTGGTTTCTCAGTGACCAAAAGAAAGGAGAGTAAGATGGGTGGCAACTTATCGAGCATGGAGAATGATCAAGAATCATCCAAGAAATCCTGCAACATTCTCACCTTCCAATCCACTGCTAAATGGAAGACTCATTTTGATGCCTCCAAAGAAATTAACAAGTTGGTATGTATGTTATCACACCTACAATCCTTAATAGTCCTTCACTGTACCTTGTTTATTATTTCTAGCTTTCATAACGATTTTGTGCATCCCCATTTTTTCTCATCATTTTTGCTAAAGATGGTGATCGATTTCACGGCTACATGGTGTGGACCTTGCAAACACATGGACCCAATTATCCAAGACTTTGCTGCAAAGTACACCAACGTGGAATTCGTGAAGATTGATGTGGATGAGTTGATGGTAATGATATATTTTTGTTTTCTTTCACTCATATATGTCTCTTAATTTTGAGACTGAAGAGCATCTCAACATTGATATATATTGAATTTGTAAACAGGGAGTGTGTGAAGAATTCCAGGTGCAGGCAATGCCAACGTTCATATTGATGAAGAAAGGGAAAGTTGTTGATAAGGTGGTGGGAGCTAAAAAGGAAGAGCATACAAAAGCTCATTGAGAAGCATCTAAAACTAAGAGTGTCGTTGTGATCTTTCATGTGTCAGGGCATGGCTATATATTGAGCTGCAAAGAAAGGAAGAGGAATAAAGAGAAATTCTCCAATATCATGTTACGTGATTTTTTATTATTATTTAACTCCGTTAAAAATATTACGTGAATTAAAGGGATCATGTCAGCAAAGTCATGTTAACGCGACACTAGAAAGGTTAACAAATTTTAAATATAATGATTTAAAATAAAAATTTAAAGAAACCAAAAAAGAAAATTCTTTTACAGAAAAAATTAAAATTAAATTATATAGACTAAAAAGAAAAAAATTATGTCTACAAATACCAAAAAAATATCAAGTTTTGTATAATGTATAAGTTTAATTTAAAATTAATATGAAATAAATATTATATATAATATGCATATATATATATATATATATATATTATTTAATTACAATGCTAGATTTATGCCTTTTAAAAAAATTTAAGTAAAAAAATACTAGTCCGTGTTTCTTGGAGTAGAGTTAGATTTATTTGAGCCCACCTAGATTTGCAAACCATTTAAATTGTCTTTTCATGATTGATTGAAAATTCATTCTTTAACAATCAAATCATAATTATGTTTCTTTTTAATTTTTTTAAATTCACTTATTATTTTACTATTATATTAATATAATGTGATTGTTTATTTTTTCTCATATAATTATCAATATATCATTCCAAAGAGACTTCCATTTTAATGAACTGATGCTATATACCGTGTAAGAATGAAAAGATATATATATATATATATATATATATATATATATATATATATATATATATATATATATAATAAAATAAAATAAAATTAGAAAAACCAAAAATTTAAAGTCAAATTGATGATATAAAGAGGAAAAAATAACAGAGAATAAGAATTAAAAAGAAAAGTGAAGACTAAACTTTAAGGCTGATATAAATATATATATATATATATATATATATTTATATATATATATATATATATATATATATCGTTAGTATTTTCTTTTAATTTATCTTTAATCCTTGTATTTTAAAATTGATTAATCTAATATTTTAAAATTTAAGATATGTAATAGTCTTTTTCTAACTTAAATTTAAAATTTAATTATGAATGTTTATTTAATAAAATTAATAAAATGGATAAATACATTTTTAGATATTTTTTACATCTAAATTTGATATTTAATAATATTTATTATTATTACAAAGTTAATAAATGATCATATATATATATATATATATATATATAAACTAAATTGTTAAGTTTTAAAATACAAGAACAAAAATTAATTATAAAAAAATATTTAACATAAAATTAAATATACAAATTTGTTAAGTAAGAAAACAAATTGTATAATCATGTCTTCATAGAGTTTAAGTATGCAATTTTTTCCCGTAAGATATTGTATACTAGAGAGGAGAAAATAATGTATATTATAAGTGAGAGATTACAAAGTGTTTTTATTCATGAGTGGTGTTGTTGTATTAAAAAAAATAAAAATTGAAATTACCTTTTTATCCTTTATTTTCAAATAGATGAATAAAAATTGTTTTACAAATGTTAAAACTTTGTTTTTATAATATAAATATTACTATGATAACAAGTCATTTTTTATTTGTAACCATGTAAGAAATTAATTAGTTTTCTTTATATTTTTATGCTCAAACAGATATTTTAGAATAGGTTTGAATTTTTAAACTGAATCTGCTTCTTCTTCTTTTTTTCTATTTGTATATGCTTTTACCATGAAGCATGTTATTATGAGTTAACTAGAGATGTCACTTATGTCACGATTTATATATATATAAAAAAATTAATTAGTATTATATAATATTAGAATCAAAAGTGATAATTTTTAATTTTAGAGAAAAAATAGAACTAATAAATTAAATTTTATTTGTTTTTATTCAATAACTTATTTTTATAAAGTGGTTATGTTTTATTTTTTTTACATCCATTTCACACACCGATAGCTTCTTTGTTATTTCACTTAACTCTCATGTCTTATTAATTTTTAATTACATTAATTTTTTATTATATGACCTTTCTCCAAATTTATTCTTTACTTCAAAATTTTCTAATTTCAAAACACATTGATTACATTTTGCACAAGTATCACTCAAACTCCTTAATACTTTTAGGAATCAAACTTGGAGATGATGAACTTGAATGACTTGATGAAAATAAGAAATTTTGTGTATTTGAGATTAATTCCACATTTTATTGAATATTGTTACAAAATTGTTGATATTGTTTCTTCCTCCACCTTTTCTTGTCAATTTCAAGAAACTTTCTCATCAAACTTGATATCTTAACTAATGAATACATTCTTTGTCTTCAAATTGCAAAGTCTACGACTCTTTGACATGAAACATTTGATAACAAAGAGATCGAGGAAGTTAAATGTTATTATTTTTTTTTGTAGTGTGAAAAATGAATGATACAACTGGATATTTATAGGTTTAGAATGAACTTTTTGTTTTAACTTCACAATCCATAATCACCTAAATATTTTGCCTAAAATATCGAAATAATAACTGTCTAGAATCGTAATATTAATTACACAAGATATCTACAAAATCAAAATATTTCAACTAACATTTAAACATATTATTTTCTATTTAATTTTATCCAATAAAACTCTCCTTTAAAATTAAATGTTTCTCTTCAACTAATTGAGATCGATTAAAGATTAATTTGACCAACTTCACTGCTTCTTTCATCCTTTATCCTGAGTCCAACTTGTTGTCAATTTTTCATCTCTCTTATTCTTGAATATCCGTTTCACACCAATAGGTTGAACATAACTCGACAATTCAGTCATTGTCCACATGTCATTATATTCTATAACTCGGATCTTCTTGTCCGTAACAACTTGTTTTTTAATCTTTTTCCTACACTTTCCAACCCTAATATACTTCCACTATTCTAGACTCACCTTTGTATGTTTATTTCTCAAAGAAATTTTAGTGTCAAAAGAATACAATGATGAATAAGCTCGAATAAGGTCACTTCAAAATCTACTACTTGGACTTATTGGGCTAATGAAAATAATACATCTTAAAAAGTTTCACATCACCTAGGATAAGCAATAAAATGGGTGATAGTAACTATATAATGGACTTAAAGTCTATGATGTTCTGACACCTTAGTCAAAAACACTTTAAACTTGTATTTGACTTTTTTTATATTTTTGTAGTAGAGATTTGTGAGGTTTGGTTTAAATTCTTACTTTGGAGAGTGGAAGTGTATTTGTGGTCAAAAGGTATGAGAAGGTAGTCTATATGTTGTAAAAACTTTTACATAATGTCATTAGATAACGGTCGTGACTTTTTTCTTTGATTTTGAAGTTTCCACATTATATTATAGAGTATCCTCTCTCTATCATTGACCCAATTAGGTCATCCCCTATAAGAAGTAGATTGTATATCCACCTTTTACTAAGATCTTTGAAGCATTTTCAAAAGACACATGATTGCCCTCAATTTTCTCCAATTCGTTAAATAGGTGTTCGTCCCACACATATGGTGACATTTTCCTAAACTCCACTACTGTTATTTCTCAAATTAAGATTAATCATTAAAACTATTACTTCTGCCTTCTTTATGAGATATGTCTCTTCTACTTTTTTCTTAGCTCGACAGTCTTTCGCAAAATACTCTATCTTATCACAGTTATAACACTTATCCATGTAACAATGTTTTGTATAGTGACCACATTTTTCACACTTAAAACACTCAACATTTGAGTGACTCAGCGGCCGACCTCCTTTTCGACTATATCCTTTACCACACCAGTCTTGTTGGTTTTCTTCTTTCTCCTCACGATCTCTACCACCTCAAGAACCTCGGCCTTTACCTTGAGTGTTATGAGAGTAGAAAGTTTTCTTATCTGTCTCACTTTAGAGTGCTTAAATTGTTGTCTCCTCCTTCATTTTCTTCCTCTAGTGCTCATAGGCTTCAAGAGAAGCCACCAAATCTTGTATCGTCAGTTCAAATGGGTCCTTTGATTGCTTTATTATGCACATTACATTCTCAAAGTCATCGGTTAATGACTTCAAGATCCTCTCCGCAATACAGTCTTCAAAAAATGCCTCTCCATTGTGGTTAAGATGATTCGTCACAATAACATACGTAACGTATTCAAAAATTCTTTTTGACTTCTTCATTCTAATGCTCTTCATTTTACTATGTAGTGTTTGTAGCCGAACTCATTGACTCAATCATCATTCTTGTATACTCTCTCCAATGCATCCACACTTCTTTTAAGGTTTTAGCACTTGCTATCTTCTTAAAGATGGACTCATCAATAGCTCTATACAACATGTACAAGATTGCATTATCCTTCTCATGCTTCTCTTTCAACGCTTTATTTGTGGCTGCTGAAATTCCTTCGGTGCTTTCTACTTCTTCAAAATCATCCTCAAATATCTCCCAATTACTTTAGAATCTCAGAAGGGTCTTCATCTAGAGACTTCAATTAACATACTTAACTGTTTTTGTCAACCGGGACAGGGTCACACTATTTGTTAGACCGACCATTGTTGAATTATTGGCAAGCGTACCAAAATTATCAATCGCAGTATAGTATTTCGATTAAATAAAAGTCGATCCCACAAGGAACAAGTTCAATGGAAATTCCCAATTATGCTTACTAAGTAGATTAAACAGATTGAGTTTTGCAAATAAGAGTTGAATTGAAATTAAATGACAAAGAACGGTAAATTGTTGAGAAAATATCAATTAAAGGTACTTAGGATTGACTTCCTTCCTTATCCCTCTTTTGCAATGGCTATGTCAATTAAGAACGTTAATTAACCTAACAATGTTGATGTCACCTACTCAAATCATCCATGTTGATTCCTCACACATGAAATTCATAAGAAAACCTAATAAATATTGATTCCTCACACAATTAAGAGATTTCCCAGCATTAGGGTTAAGGTGTTAAGCAATTGATACATTCATTCCATTTCTGGCAATTAACGTAACAAATATTCTTACCGTGATCTAGGGTTCAAGATATATTTTCCAATCATACCTCAAACAATCAAGAATAAATCATTCCAAAGCATAAATGATAAGAATAACAACATCAAAGCATAGATTAATATCTCAAAATATCACCATGATACAAAAGAGTTTAAAGGAAGTGCACCGAATCCTAAGAGAATGAAGTTATAGTCACTCATGTTGGTCATTACAATGCTCCAATTGATGAAGAAGTGAAGAATTGATGAAGATTAGACAAAACCCTAACAGTAGTCGTGTCTCCTCTCCTCCAAGACTGCTTGCTTTTCTCAAAACACAACTTATCTTTTTATAAGAGAATTTGGGTCGGGTCTCACATCATTCATTCGCTTAAGCGCTCTTCTTTCTTTCAATTTTACTCTAATTATGCCGACAATTATGCTCCTTACTCTTGTATCAAGGTATTCTCGAATTCATCCTATATTGGGAGAAAAATATATTAGAATTAACATAAGTTAAGTGGTTTCGTAACAATTCAAAGCATAATTATATCAACTTTTTACCACTTAACAACCATTACTTTCTTCAAATTCTCTCACACTCAAACTCAAACTCTTGATACCAATTTGATAAAAAAGAGATTGAGTAAGATAAATATTATTGTTTTTTGTGGTATGAAAAGTGAATGACACAACTGGGTATTTAAAGGTTTAGAATGAGTTTCTGCTTTTAACTTCCCGGATGATATTTTGCCTAAAATATCAAAATAATAACTATCTAGAATTATAATATTAACTGTCCAAGATATCTATAAAATCAAAATATTCTAACTAACAATTAAACCTATTATTTTCTATTTAATTTTATCCAATAACTATAACTAATAAATATGCATCTCACACTTGATTCTTCAAGCATTGTTCTATTTTGTTTGTTTGTAAACTTGAGCATAAGAAACACATATAAAAACTTGTAGATAATTTACTAAAGGTTTTCTTCCACACCATGCTTTAAATGGTGTCATATTTCAAACAACTTTGGTTGGATATCCATTCAATAGGTAAATTGTTATATTAACTGCCCAAAATTAATTGAGCATTTTGCTTTCAAATACATGGAGTTTATCATTTCCATCAAAACTTGATTCCTCCTCTCTAATACACCATTTTGGTTAGGTATATAACTAACAATCAATCTTTTATCTATTCTTTCATCTTTACAAAATCTTTTGAATTCATTTGAGTTATATTCTTTTCTCTTATTACTTCTCAAAATTTTTATAAACCTACCACTTTATTTGTCACCATGTGCTTTAAACTTTTTAAATACATCAAATATTTTTAAGTTTTTTTTCTCATGAAATAGACTCGTACCATGCAAGTCGAATCATCAATTAAAAAAATAAAGTACATATTTTGACTATGCAAATGGTACTCATTAGACCAAGTATATTTGTGGGCATCAATTCTCTTACTTCTTTAACTTTACTTATTCTTTCTTTTGAGAATGATTGATGATGATATTTATCAAACATACATCATTCACATACTCAATTTTTGGTGACTCAAATACCATAATTTTTTTTTTTATACACCAACATAGGTTATTATAACTTAAAGGGCACACGTCTCTTATGTCATAAACAAAGTCATTTTCTTCCATCAAATTGATTTTTTTTTCTCATAATTAAGTAAAAGCGGAAAACTTCTATTATTTATCATTTTTATCACAATAATAACTTTTCTTTTTTATATGAAATAAAATGTTAGTTGGATTCTATGTAAGTGACTCAGCAGGATGTATAGAATATTTGAAAAACACGTTTGGATTTAGTTGTATTTGTATGGTGTGAAAAAACAAAACAAAACAAAAAAAAAGTTGTATCTTAATCTTTTACAGAAACCGGATATATTTCACCATTATTTTAATAATAATAATAATAATTTTAATATTTAAAATTAAATTATATGACTTTCTCATAAATATTAAAAATAAGAATTTAATAAAGAAAAAAAAATCGAATGTGAAGTTGAAATAACTTATTTATTAAATCTTTTATCCAAACTAAAATATATATATTTATGTTATAACAATAATATTTCCATCTCAAATTTTATCTAAATTAAAATTCACAAAATTGAACATAGTAATAATTCTAAACAAATATACCATAATTATAGAAAATAAAATTTTATATTTTAGTTAAATAACATTTAAATGTATATATTAGATTAATTGAAAGTGATATCTTTATAATTTTTGTGACTTAAGGATGTATGTTCTGACAAGTAGTCCTAACAGTTTTATTTTTTTATCTAGATTAATCAAATTTTTACAATAAGAACGATAAAAAAATATTTTTAATAAGTTGACTTAGATATTTGTAAGACATATAAGCTGTGACAGTTCAAAACTCCTAGATTTAATTTAAAATATATATATATATATATATATATATATATATATATATATATATATATATATATATATATATAACTAAATAACTTTGATTCTTTATTGTAACTGGAAATACTAGGAGGAGTAATTATTCCTGTTGAGCCCCAAAAAATTAATATTAATATTTTTTGTAATAATTATTTTTATAATATTTCATAATAATATTAATATAAAATAAATATATAATTAGTATATTAATTTAAACCTACGATTACGCTTAGGATATTAATACTTTTTATACATAATTAATTTCCGAACTCGAAATCTAACCGTGTAGACTACACATTTTCTTTTCAATTATTTTTTTTAACATTTTTTTTAATAAATAAATATTGGTGATGACTTAATTTTTTATTTTTATTATTTTATTTTTTAATCGTCGAGCAGTATTCTTTGACAATATTCATTACAAATAAAGTTTTAAAAAAATTATATAAACAAAGTCAACTCTTTCCTACGATCAGTTTTACAGAATTAAGTAATCTGAAGTTTATTTTTAAGATAAGAATCTTCAAACGCTCCAAAACTTCTTCTTGTTAATATAGAAATCTTGCTTACACTTCAAGCATGCCAAAGCACACCCTTCATAAGATTCCTTAGTTCCAGAGGAAATTATACATGTTATTCTTAAATGTAAGGTTGCATTGAACCAAACAAATTCCATTTACTAGAGTTGCTTTGCATAGCAGAAAACAAATTTGAGAGAATATTAATTATTTTGAGGAAGAATTTACAGTAACATATGACTAATGGTTGACAAATTATTATTATCATTCTTTTCTATTTTTACTCGAGATTTTTTATGCACTCATGTTACCCTTCTATTTTGGGAATAAACTTTCAGAAAACATTCATTGCCAACTTTGGTTCTTGAGAATGATCTGTGCCTAACATTCTACGCTTACATTCCCTTGTGATAACAGGAATTGTTCAATTTTCAAGGGATATATGAAAATACTTTGATCAAAAAGACAAAATTGACAAGAACGCGAAATCTTCAATTCAACCAAAAAAACTGAATGGCTGTTCTGCTAATTCATTTCTTTATTTCACAATAAAGTCTAACCTGAATATTGAATGGTGCTAGCACCAGCTAATGATTCTAGCACTTATGCTCTCGAATTTCTCTAATTAGCTTCAATGGTCCATTTTACAGCATCCCACTTGAAAGAATATGATTCATTTCTAAAGAAATCACGTAGCACTATCCTACTTCTTTGTAAATCTCTATATATATTCTAAGTTTCTAACCATTTTGCCATCAACCAAACCAATTAAGAAACCTCAGACTCCTCTAGCTTCTTGGTAAATCATGGCACCCACCTTTTACAGTTTTAAGTCTTTTAATAGGTCTTCAAGGTCATTCAATCATTCATCATCAAAAAGTGAGTCATCCAATTCCAACATCCTTACTTTTCACACCACAGATGCATGGAATGCTCATTTTAAAGCCGCTAAAGAAACTAACAAGCTGGTATGTTTGCGTTGCTACATTCTTTAGCAACATAATTAACTGATAAAGGTTTTATGCTAGTTTTTATTAGCAGGAAATTCAAACTCTCAAATTATCTCTCTCTCCTTTTCAGTTTTACTATCAAACCAACTTTATGTACCAGCTGGTTTTCCTGATAGTTTTTTTTTTTTTTTTTTGGGAGTAGATGGTACTTGATTTCACAGCTAATTGGTGTCAACCTTGCAAACTCATGGATCCAGTTCTCCAAGAGTTTGCTGCAAAATACACAGATGCTGAGTTCATCAAGATTGATGTGGAGGAGTTAAACGTTTGCCACTCACTCATTTCCCTTTACTTTTAACTAATATGATAGTTAATGTAAAAGCAACAGCATGCATAGTCTCTAAATGTTATTCTTTTTGTGAGCACTAATTTTCACCAGTTGAGAACTGATTTATGTTCATGATATGAATGAAAACAGGAAGTGTCTCAAGCACTTCAGGTCTACCAATTGCCAACATTCATACTCGTGAAGAAAGGGAAAGTTGCTGATAGAGTGGTGGGGGTGAAAAAGGAGGAGCTGAAAAGTTTGATTGAGAAGCACAGAAAATAAATGAATGATTATGCACTGTAATAAAATCAGAAGGGCTCAACAGCATATTCTGCCATGACCATTTCAAGGGAAAAAACGAACTATCAACAACTGAATTTGGAATAAGTTGGTGTCATTATTTCACCCAATGAGAAGATATTGGTGTTATTCTTTTACCATTACAAGTATGCAATGTACTATGTTGCGTGTAGTTGCCCATATTTAACATACAAGGGCATCTATTAACATGTATTAATATTATCAGCCTCTTTTGGGTTATCTTACTCTCCTCATCAAAATCTTCAACTCAATTTTATTGCTGGACAACTAACATAGTTCTCTCTCACTAGGAAAAAACAGAAATAATAATCTAACTTAAGAAAAGGTTCTATCAGATTGAAGGCAAAATTTAAAGGTTCTATAAAGAAATATCTTTAGATAAGTCAATTTCAAATTAATCACATCATAATAAACAAGACACATTTATTTAAGTGAAACCAGCCAACGCACAAGTAACTGTAGTTCATTTTTTTCCCTTTGTTCCAGTGACCAGCAGAGTATAAATACCAGAAATGTAAAAATATTGATATACACTTGTTTCCAAAGCTAAATACATGGTAGCAAATAGCAACTATGCTTGGTTTATTTGTCATATGCACAGACTTCATGTAGATTGGTCGAGTTACATAATAATTTACAGTGTAAACTAATTTTCATGTGGAAGATGGCGAAAGGATAGTTATAGCCATTAGTCTGAAAATATTGGTTTAGTAATAATCAACATCACTAAGAATCCTTCTTAGATCACACTTTCGTTGTGTGGTCAGTCTTGATGGAAACATAACATCAAACTTGATTCTGAGGTTTCCTTTCTTGCCAGGTTCCTTTGAGATGGGCATACCTTCATTTGGGACCACCAGCTCAAAGCCTGGTCGCACAATATCAGTCAATTGGATTGTGAGATCTCTTCCATCCAAGGTAGTGAAGTTAAAAGTCTTTCCTATGAGAGCCTCTACAAGTAATATCTTCTGGATCACTACAAGATCATTTCCATCCCTCTTGAAAATATCATGAGGTCTCTCATCCAACACAAAAATTAGATCACCTGGAGCACCTCCTGGATCTTGGTTGCCTTTCCCAGGAAAAGTGATTTTTGTACCCTTCTTCCAACCAGGTTTAATATCTATCTTCAAGATTTCTTCTACAGTCCTTAACACTCTGCCAAAACAAAGGAAGAGGGCTCATAGTGAAATTGAAATGAGGAGGCAAAAAGTGGATGTATAATGCTTCAAATTATATTTTGATAACAATTAGCTGCAAATTGCCAAGTTCAACAGTAAATAAGTCTGATTTATTGAAACAAACCAATCAAACATATTTTACACAACATGATTATTTTCTTTTTTATACACATTAACATCTAGACCACCACATATCCGTAGTTCCTTCCGACCAATATATACCAACATGTGACAATGATATTCAATGTACGAGAAAAACTTAACAAAATTCAATTCAATGTTCTTGCTAATAAGTGGGAACCATGATGGTCTTATCCTATGTAATGATTTCTCAGGGGTGAAAACGGAATTCCCTAAAACAAATAAATTCACCTTCATTTCTTCACTTGTGAGCACAGAATACGGATAAATGTTTATGGATGTGTAGCTGCAGATACATGCACGATCAAAACAAATAAGCGTAACTCCAAAATAAAAAAACCTACCAAAACAACATCGAGTGTAGAATCCAAATGATAAAAACAACAACAACAATAATAATAATAATAGTGGAAACAAAACGAAAGGACACAGCCACAGAATGGCCACGGGGTGATCACAACTACTCTGTAAACTATCCCAGCTTTATGGTACAACAAAAAGTGATTTTATTTTCAATATTATCAATATCTCAATTCAAATGCTAGCGTTGTAACCAACACAAAATTGCGAGATGCTAATTAATGACAAAAGTTATCCACTATTATCGAATTTAAAGAAAGAAAAACATAGAAGCAGTTGGTCATATATTATTCTGGTTTATTCTCCAATTAGAAAAAGAGTTTCACTCCAGTAACTTAGGTTGATGTTTGATGCAAATCTTTATTATACTGATTACCCACCTACAATTTCAATTCTAGTTAAAAACAACAGCAAAACACAAGAAACTACGTGTAAGTAATGTCCTTTAAAATACCCTTCCAAGGCTTTAATTCTGGTCATGTAAAAGCAAATCATGCACCATAATTCTACCACATGAATCACAGATCTCTACATGCAATGAACAAAAAACAGCACGAATGAGAATGCAAGGGAGATAGTTAGCGAATTACCCGAATTCATCAGGAACAGTCCTTGAGACCTTCAACTTCTTTTTGCAACCCCTGTAAAGCTCCACAAGGGTACAAGTCAAGCTGCTTTCGACCACCCCTGCTTCCTTCATAATCCCATAACCATGTTCTTTGCTAAAGCGTTGAGAGTTAAGGGGATAGTGACCGTATAGATCATAGATCTGGCGCTTGTTGGGGTCACTGAGCACATCATAGGCCTCAGCAACCTGCTTGAACTTGGCTTCAAACTCTTCCTTCCTAAGAGGGTCTTCAAGGTTCTTATCAGGATGCCACTTCATGGCCAAACGCCTATAAGCCCTCTTCACCTCTTCATCAGTGGCATCACGTTTCACCTTCAGTATCTTGTAGTAGTCACCAGCACCCATGTCAACGCAACACGAACAAAAACTGAGTTCTGCGTGAAAATCAGTGCTTTGTGAGGGGAAGAAACTTTCTATGCTTTTTGTGAATGACTTTGTGTAAGTGGCTGCAAAAGGGTAGGCAGGTAGTAGCGGAAATCACGGTCTGGAAGAGATTTAAGAGAAGATAAACACTGAAACAGAGTGATGACAAGAAACAGCACTAGACGCGTACTTTCAATTTTTGAGTTTTGGTTTTCTGTTTTCTGTTTTATTTTTTTTGAATTATATGATAGGAACGTACTTGTTCGTTGTTGCTAGCTGATGCATGTGCAGCAAAATGCGTCAAAAACACGGGATAATGGTATTGGAGGGAATAATAGGAGTAGATGATGGCAAGTCAAATTGTGCAAGAGTTAAAATTGTGTTACAAATACATAATACTGATACAAATGATTTGAAGTGTTTTTGTTGCAGAGAGATTGTTTACAATCATTGATTTTCTCTTTCAGTGTTGAAGGTTTTGCTTTCTATTTCAGGGAAGCTTCTCTGAAATATCTCGTGTAGCGTTTACACGTTGAATGATTGAAGTATACAGTAACAGTTATGATTAAGACAAGAGCTGCTTTTGTTTAAAGGCAAATATATTCTTTATCTTACACTTTAAACATTTTGTAAGAGCAGATAAATCTCACAATTCAACCATTCAATTTATTCAATTGAGAGTTTTTATAAAAAATATATTAAATTATTAAAGTGTGTGGAGATAAAGACATATATCCTAATATTAAAGAAAATTGAGTGACTGGACTTGAAAAGGAAAAAAAAAAATCTGATGTATATTAGAGATTGTGGAGTCTTAACACACACACGCGCTTTAGTGCTTTACTTTGGAATTTCTTTTCTTATTGACTTGGTTTTCTACTTTTCCTTGTAGTGCACTGCAATAAACGTTCAGTGAGTTTTAAGATGACGACTTTTCAACAATCATAATTAAAATGCATGTATGTGTTAGTCACATGCCCAGAACATACGTTTCAGAACATGGTATCAATATTTTTTAAATTGTGGAACACGTACCCTATCCTATTAATTGAAAATGAGGTATTAAATTCAACTTAGTTTTTTATTATCAAATTTAATTTTTAATTAATTCTTATGATTGATATTTTAAAATTTTAATTTTTTAATTATACTCTCTCTTTTCAAAATATATGGTATTTTGGATAAAAAAATTTATTTCTAAATATATGAGATTTGGAAAGTTTATGAATATATTTTTTATCAGTTATATATCTATCTTTTTAATTATACTTATTATATAGAGAAGACATAACAAGTTTATTTTGGTTTGAGTGAATATTAAAATATAAGGATATTAATAAAAAATACTAATAAATTTACAGAAAATAATAAAAATTAATGCTTATATTGATTTATATAATCAAACATTAAAAGTCATATATTTTAAAATAGAAAAAATAAATAATTTGATCCAGATTATTTTTTATTATAATTACAACATAGTATCTACCACAACTCTTGAAAAATAAAACAATCTTGTGAAAATTTCTATTGAAACATTTTAATATGATCTTACATAATAATTATTAGTTGACAATTTGATGAGTGATATCCAACACTAGTAAATACTCCTTCCATTTAAAAATATATATATATATATATATATATATATATATATATGTTTATCATTATTTTTTAAAAAAATTTTAATTTTTTTCATTAATATCCTTATTTTTTTTAATATTTTTTCTCTAACCTAAATGATTTTAAATAATTTGTTATCTCTTCTCTTTATAATAAATAAAATTAAAAGACTGTAGTATAATTAATAAAAATATTAAATTTTATGAATGTCATCTATTTAAAAAAATATATTTAAAATGTCGTATAAAATTCATATATAATGTATACAAATTAATAATAAAAAATATATATGAAATCTATCCAATTTGTAAGTCACAACTTCAATACTCAAATCAATTACCCTTGGATTTGATTGGTTTGGGTTACATCTAATCAAATCAATTTAATTGTCTTAGTTTGAGATGAGCCCAGTGTATTCGGCCCAAACCATAGCCCACTAGCGAAGTGGGTCAGGTTTGTGCTTCTCTTTCGACATAAAATGGGATTGGACTATATAAAAATCATGACATGACACGCTCTATATTAGAACGTGTTAAATTGATCCAACCATGACTTAGGTTGCATTCTATGTTTATGTTTACTTTTACATTCTATGTAAATTTAATAAATATAATACATTTTCTTGATTCTAATTAATATTAATAAAATGTATAAATATAAATCAATTAAAATAAAGGTATAATTGACAGTAATAATTAACCTTATCTTAAATTTTTAAAATGACACAAAAAAAAAAAAAAAAGATGATTGAAGGAAGTGGGTAGTCAATCATGCATTTTCTGAAATTATTGAAGATAACCACGCATACACGTTTTCATTACAAGCATCCTAAATTGTCTTCACTTCCTTCACGTACGAATAATTTTATAAAATGGAAAAGAAAAATGGATATGAAGTAGAAATAAAAAGCATTAACCGACATTTAAATTTCTCATAACAGTTGGAAGCATGTGATCAGATAAATGCATTGGCTAAAACTATTTTAAAAAGAAGAATATCATGTCTTTGGAGCATCATGATAACAAAACTAATATAAAAACTGAACGTTAAAAGTCAAAATAATTAGTATTGTTCTTTGAATCTGTCAAATGTGAAAGCATGTCAGGTGACAAGCGAAGCATGCGGACACTTCTCTCCATTTTAAGTTCTGTGATACGTTGAACTGTTGCGTTGTGATTTTGCAGGTTTTCAAAGGTACATATCTTTTGATAAAACTGATGTTGGAGTTGCGCAAGTTGCTCTAGCTTTGCTATCTGCTGATCTAGGTCCCCAACATATACTCGATTTAGTTTTTCCAACACATCATTTGCGATTTTTTCTATCAGTTCAGACTCCATCCTGTAATCATGGTTCAAGGTATATACTTAATTAAGAAGTTACTACATCCATAAAAAACATTCAAAAAATTTCTCAAAACAGTAAAAAAAATACATTACACTTTAACTTGTGTACACTAACTAAGATTTTTTATCTTTACCTGTTGACGGAGCAATCCCAACCGGAATAATTAGCAGCTTCCCTTAGAGCCTCCCTCCATTTCTGCACCTTCTCCTTCTGACCCTGCAATTGTCTCTCATGTTTCTCAAACGCCTCTCCGTACGTTCCTGTCTGGTTCCGCACATGGGAGGGATCTATGTCATAGAAAACGGGCAACACAATCTGCCCCCTCCTCCTCTTACATTCTAGTATTTTCACAAGCTCATCCAAACACCACTTGGAGTTTCCATAGTTTTTGGAGAAAACAATGACGGAGAGTTTTGCCTCCTCAATGGCCCTAAGAAGAGAGGACGATATCTCTTCCCCTCTCTGGAGATTGTAGTCAATGTATGTGTTGACTTGGAGTCGGGTTAAGGAGGCATGAAGGTGGCCCGTGAAAGTGTAGCGTGTGTCCTCGCCTCTGAAGCTCAGGAACACGTCGTGCTTTTCCTGAGGGGTTCCAGAGGAGGAGCTTGACCGTGCCATGTGTGTTGTATAAATTTGGTTAAAGGATTTAACACTTGCTGTGAAGTTATACACTATGTGAATGTGAAGTTCCTCTTCTTATAGCTTCTTTGGTTATGGAAGATAACCATTAGAGAAAGGAATCTGAACCTTCCTATCATGTGAGACTTTCTAAGATGTGGCCCACCATTAACAATTTCAACGGTTTTACGCGTGAAAGTTTATAGGAAAATGGCTGCTGTATATAGTCAAGCTCATTGATTGGCTTTTATCTTTTGACTTGAAAATTTCTCTTGAATTAACTCTATTTTTCCCTTGCTGATCAGAGAGAGATCAGGACATATTGTTTAAATGATAAAATATTTCTTCATCTTTCTAAAATTTTTTCAATTTTGTTTTTATCTTGATTAGTCTCTCTAAATTTAAAATACTATATTTATGGTTTTTTATACGTTTTAGTGATGCATAATAATCATTAAATATTAACTATAATTACTTTAAAGACTAAAAAAACTCTCAAATAATAAAAATATATTTATTTTGAGAATCATTTTCGAAAGTCAACCATTCGAACGTTCCAATATGAACGTGATATTTCTCGGTCAACACTCTTTAAATTGAAACTAGTAAGTATTTTTATGGAAGAATGAACTATGGATGGACCGTCACATAACTAATATTATTGTTAATGTTTAAATAACGAAACCAGGATAAAAATAAAAAAACAAATAATGTCCAACATACATGATTAATAGGAAGAGGAAAGTCAAACATGAAGTTTATCCGAAAATGGCGAACCTTAAATAGAAAACTGGAATATATTTGTCTGGTTTGTGTCAACTTGCGATAAAACGAAGACTGAACTCGCCTAGTTTTTGCGACTCTTCTTTATCCTTTCCACATTGCACAAAATATTGACTTTCTGTACTCTGCTAATTCAATGCGCGTAGATGATTTGTCGATATTCTCATACATTCACTTTAGAATGAAGCAACCACGAAATTTCAAACTCCTTGGTTGTCACACAGTTCATTGTTATTATTATTATTGATCTTCTTTCTTCCTTGGTTATGAGATGTACGAGTCTATAAAAAGGAAATATTCAGAGTTTTAATAATCATCAAAGTGCTAAATTTCTCATACATAGACACTAGTGACAGAGAGTCACAATCACAAACTAGATATTTCTAGCCATACTGTATATCATATATATTTATATATATGGCACGTTCATCCTCTTCATCTTCCTCCATAACTCCTCCACAAAAGCACGAGGTGCTCATTAGCTTTAGAAGTGAAGACACACGCAAGACATTCACTAGCCATCTTAATGGTGCTTTGAAAAGACTAGATGTCGAAACCTACATAGATGACAATGTTGAGCGAGGAGAGGAAATACCCTCAACCCTAGTTAGGGCTATTGAGGAAGCGAAGCTCTCTTTGATAGTTTTCTCTAAAAACTACGCAGCTGATAAGTGGTGTTTGGATGAGCTCAAGAAAATAGTTGACTGTGGAAGGAGGAAAGGGCAAATCATAGTGCCTGTTTTCTATGATATAGATCCTTCTGATGTGAGAAATCAGAGAGGAACCTTTGGTGAGGCATTTGCCAAACATGAGCAAAATTTTGATGAAAAGAAGGTGCGAGAATGGAAGAATGCTCTGGTAGAAGCAGCAAATTTTTCTGGTTGGGATTGCAACGACGTCAATAGGTAACTCTATTTCAAATATGTAGGTTGTGATAACCACCCCTTACATGCTTAACATAAGTTTAGTGACTTAATTCACTCGCCTAAATTGTTGTTTTCTTCTTTTGGGATCTCCAGTATTAAAATGATCTTTTGGTTAGCCTCTTTTAATTGAAACTATGAAATGGATTTTGTGGGAGTTTGAGGTCTTTATACATTGCATTTACTGTGATGTTTAAGTGCAGGACAGAGTTTGAAATGGTTGAGGAAATTGTGAACGATGTGCTTGAAAAGTTGGACCGTGAGAATGTGAGTGACCTAGATCTACAGATTGCTAAATTGGAAGAACTTGCAAAACTTCAACGTGAATTTTATAAAAGCATAACTACTTTCGAAAATATGTTAAATCGCGACGCCACGATTCAACGTATCATAGAACTTAAAATGGAGAGGAGCGTTCGTTTGCTTCGTCTAACACCAAATATGCTCTCCTACATGCAACACTCAAACTCCGATGATTATAATAAGAGTGTGTTTGGAAATTTACTTGGACGTGATGATAAGAGTGTCTTTGAAAATATGTTTTAGTGATGAGTTTCATTACCCTGAGTTTTTACTTTTTAAAATAACGAATGTAATAAAGGAAAGAAGGAGATGAATTGGAAGAATAATCATGGTTTATTTCATTCTATTGTTTTATTTTTTATTTTTATTTTTTTATACTTGGCCTACGTTTGATGTTTGAGAATTATACAAGTCTAACAAGTAAAGATCCAAATAAAAGAACTGCTGAAACGACCAGACCCAACTGAGAGTAATGTAAGGAAAATACAAAACAATAATATTTATTGTATATAAATGCAGTCCCAAGTAAAAAATGTGTCTTAGGTCCCCCGAGATTTGATCAAAATCAGTTTTTTAATTCCTACATTTTATAAACGAGGTTTAGTCTTTCTATTTATGAAATGTGGTAATGTAGTCCTTGGTCCTATACTTTATTTCGACCTGTCGAGTGACCAAATGCACCACGTTACAGAAAATTCAATCATTTTTAAAATGTAGAAACTAAAACCAATTTTGACCAAAACTTAAGTGACTTCCAAAACATTTAACCCAAATAACTTTTAGAATTATCATAAATGTGACCAGACTTTAGATCTGATTCATAGGTTCTATATCATGGGAAAGAAAGATACTTTAATCTTGTTCTGATTCTTAAATTCACATTTCACAAGAAGCATTAGGAGCTGACAACAAGTTCTTAAACATATTCCACATGGATCATGGAATTTTTCTTTAGGGAAAAAAAATCCTCAGTAATGGGCTCAGATAAACCTTTCATTAGAGTTGCAAACAGTAGATCATTAAATAACGTGTTTGGTTTATTATTGTTTTAGATGTGATTTTGAGAAGCTAATGATTATAGTTTTCACATCCTAAACGTGATTCTTTACTTCAGAAGTAGTTTCCAAACACGCTGAAAAGACTATTAATCAGATCAAAATTTCCAGTCTGTTAAATAAGTACTCCTTATGATACAACCAAACTTGTTACAAGATCAATCTACTGGCATCCATACTGGGGGATTATTTAGACAAAACTTTTCATTGAAAACGCAATGAAAAATCATTGTTCGAAACAATATATTGGGCTTATTTTTATTCACAAGAGAACAAAAACTAGCAACATGAACAAACCTAAGAGAACATATGGGACAGCCATAATACTACATACATTTAGACCAAAAAGTGGAGGTGCTTGCCTGGTCATAATACTACATACATTTAGGAAAAATAGGTTGACCATTGAGATTCAGAACTTATGGGACAGCCATAAACAAATGTATATTCAGATTGCATATTATTTAATGGACTTTAGATGCAGTATGCCAACTAAGTTTTAATTTTTATACAATGTAAGTGAATAACTTCACAGCAGAATTGTCATGTAATGTGTTGACAAATCATTAAAGGGCACAGACTATCATCAGAAAAGCACCCTAAGAAGTCAAACTCTTTCAGTACTGTATCAATGTACCACTAGATAATAGAGTAGAAAAAATTTAAAGTTTTCCTTGGCAAATGAAGATGTCTTCAATCAGTAATCCTACTCTCAATGCAGAAGACAAACAACTAAAGGGTGATGATAATAGGATTGGCATATGTGTTCCTTCTTTCTGTTCAAACTTCAAGGACAATCGGGCTCAGATTTAGTTTAAAGAACCAGATATGGTGTCCTCCATCTTAAATTGCTAAATTTTACATTTCAAAAAGAAAAGATCCACCACAAAGTTAAAAGTTAATTAGGTCTTGAGCTTCCCAATTGAAGTTAAAAGAACTATTATCAGACGCAAGATGTTCTCTGACAAGATATGCCAGTCAGCCAATGATTTTTAAAACATAAGTAGAAGAGTATATACAAAATGCAGCCTTTTCGTTTTTTCATATAACTGAACTAGGATGCTCTATTATGAAAATATAAGCAAATGAAAACCAAGATAATGAATAACAAAACAAACAATGGTCTTCTCGTTGATAAAGGAAAAATCAGACATTTCACGTCAATTTGACGAGCTCAATGTTTTTTTAAGATTTCTAAGGATGCTCCACATGAATGTGGAAACAAAGAAAAGGATGATACCAGTAATGATAGCATACTTCAGACCAAGGTTCACTAGCAAATTTACTAGCAGCCCAGCAAACACCACACCAAAGAAATTAGCAGATACAGCAGCCCAAAATGGCATATCAAGAATGGCCGCTATAATCGCTCCAGTCCATGCTCCTGTTCCAGGAAAAGGAACAGCCACAAACAGCATCAGACCAAGCCACTGAAACTCCTCCACAGGACCAGCCTTCTCTTTGGCATTCTCAAACAGCTTGTCAAGCAATCGCGCCGCAGAAGAGCTCCTCGCAGCGAGGAATGTCGCAAATCTTTTCAGGTAGAGTACAATGAATGGCACAGGGACCATGTTCCTACATCAATTACACGAATCTGGTTCATCCAATCATGGGGGAACTCCCACTATTACCAAAAATCAAAATTACATCAACAGGCACTGTGGAAACATCGTTAACGAGCCAACACCAAACCCTCTTCTCTCCTTGAGTTAAAATTAAATAGCAAAATGTACGGCTTTTTTTATTCAATTCTAACTTCTTGGTTTTGAAGAAACCTACATTACTCAGTAATCAAGTATATCCTACACTTGTCACAACAAATGAAACAAATTAACCATGTGAAATCCTACAGAACCAAGTAAGGACAAATGGGTGGCATGATTGCAGTGAATTTCAAGAATATCTAACAAAAATTAGCTATACAAGATTGTACTTAATAGAAAGAAAAGAATTATAGACAAACCCCAGAATGGACAAGATTGTTAGAGTTGTGGGGTTGAGTTGCATCCAGTAACCGACAGGAATAGCCCCACGAAGCTCAAGCACAGGAAGAGTGGCAAGGGTGAAGACCACAACCCCATCAGGCCAACCCAATTTCCTCAACGAATTGGCAATTTTCAAGCCAAAGCCAGAGGCTTTGATAGAGTCAACAGCAGCATTAGCATCCTTTGAAACGGCAAACCAAGCCAGGGACAAGGAGGCCCAAAATATGACCCAGAAGGCAAATTTAACTGGTTTTTCCCTATAAAGCAGCAACCTTTCGGCTTCATCGGCAGGGTCAAAGCATTCGTTGGAAGAAGCTCTTGTTTGGGTCAGTGAGGAAGGGGCAATTGCAATAGGGGGTTTAAAATGGGGGGAAGCATGAAGGGTTGAGAATGAGAAGTTTGATTTAAAAGATTGTGCGCCCTTTTGGATGAGAGGATGAGCATTGAAAGGTGAAATCCTGCTGTGGGGTTTTCTGAAATGGAATGGAGATGTAAGTGACAAAGATGAGGCGGCCATTATCACAAGTGGGGAAAGAAGAAAACTTCGTTTGACAAGTGGCGAGTGTGGAACTTCGAAGTAAGAAAGTTTGGTGTTCAGGTTCATCATCATCATCTTGAGTGAGTGAAACTCAGGTTAGATGCTCTATATATACCCACTGCCCTACAAGCAAATATTTTAAAATTTGTTTGTTTATAATGAAGAAAGAAATATTGAGAAAATAAAATATAGATAATGATTTTAAATTTTTTGTTTGATTAAAGATAAAAAGAACTTAAGTCATTACTATCTTAAAAAAATAGCTCTTAACAAAGTAAATAAATACATTATACTAATGTGATAAGTATCCCAAAGATTTTAATCAATAACTAAATAGACATTATTGTTAGTTTTTTTAAAGTAATTATTATAAAAATTTAACGTATTTAATTTATGATTGGATATCTTACAGATATATTTACTCATTTAGTATTGTTAAATTTTTCAATTAAAAATTAAATTAATTTATTTTTAAATTTTGTTCATATGGAAGGGAAAAGTGATGATGTTATCATAGCCTTTTCGTTTTGACCAATGACACAGCTGGACCAATCTGAATTTTGTGTGCAAAAACAGATAGGAGGAAGAAAATGAAAATAATTATTTGAAGAGGTAAGTGTTAGATTTGGCACAAAATGAAATCATGAGGGAACATTGTATTGCGATACAAACAATGGGAGGACTTAACAAGGTGATTCTGACGGCTGAATTGTTGTCTACCTTTTGAGAAGCATGAATTCATAATAAAATTGATGCTGTTTTCAGTGAATATATAACCAAAAACCTCACTCCTTTTTATGAAAAATTATAAATATAATTATTCAATTTGCTTCATTTGTTCGCATACTACTATGTCTGATGGATACTTTATAGATATATATCAATGAAATATCAAAATTTTTGACACCATACTTCTTATTTATGTTATATATATATATATATATATATATATATATATATATATATATATATATATATATATATTGATATTATTTAACATTTCAATACATGTTGATAAAGAATACTTTTTAAAAAAAAATATATCTAAAATTACAATAAACATATAAGATGTTTAAAACAGAATTAAAGAATTAAAGAAAGTTCTTTTTGCGTGTAAGAATGACAATTATTTATATTTTTATTTTAAAAATATCTAATATATATATATATATATATATATATATATATATATATTAATGTGGACTTGTGTATTTGTATTTATATTTTTATCATGTTTTATAAATTTATATACTTAATGTGTAATATCCTACTATTTTTAGAATAACTGTTTCGCCACGTTTAATATCCGGGCATCATAGAGGAAAATTATTAGCTAGTCACTTATTTCATAATTGATTCTTATTTCAATATTGAAAGTCAAAGCAATAAATAATTATTTATAGTTTATAAGTTTTTAAATATGATTTTAGCTGTCAAAATAGATTTTGGAAGGCATCCAAACGTGCACTGAAAACAATTTTCATTGAGAGACAACTAATGAAAAAAATGAACTCTGATCAAACAAATGCTTTTCTATTTCTGAAAGAACATTAGATTAGAAAGTTATATATGATAGAATAATCTTCTATTACTGACAAAACTTAAACTATTCACATGTAGCAATATCGCCTATAGAAAAATCACTAAGTATAAAATTACATACCCATTAAACAAGAAAAACTCCCCAAATCCACATACAACATATGCATATATATTAAAGCTGGAGTTAATGGAAAAAAAAAAAAAAAAAGCCCCGACAAAATCAACCATCTGATTAGCCTAATCCATGTCATCGATGAAACGGTATTGCTGGTATGATCCATCCATGACAACTCTGGGCTTCCTCCACAGGACCACGATGAACTCAGCTTAATGAATGCGATGGATAGAACATATTCCTAAATCCTGAATATTTTTCTCGTAAAACTAACGCAGGCTTCGACCAGTACTCATACATATGTCTTCTCACAGTAAGCCTTGTGCCTCAAAGTCTCTTCCCACTGAAAAAGAAAAGGCAGCAAATGTTAAGGCAACAAGATAGAAACATTGATAAATTAAAGGAGAGAAGGATAGAAATTGGAACAAGTAATGCTAACACATTTTTATTCACTTTTTTAACACTCAAACAAAAATATGGTGTACAATGTGCAATGCAGTCAAATCAGTATCACCAAATTCTTCTCAAAGTTTTAATTATTTGATATATTTCATAAAAGGTAGAGATGCAAAATTCTTAATCATCAGCTACTTATTGCATAGAATGGTATTAATTATTAGTTGCATAACATTTACGACATTAGACGAAGCTTCGCTTAACTAGGCTCTTCCTTCTAATTACTTGATCCTCTGCACTAGAAAACATTTTTTCTATGTTTCTTTCACTTCTAACGAAATATCGTGATCATATTTAAATACAATTCAATCATTATTTTGACAAATATGAATAAAACAAAGTTTACTGTCTCCAAACTAATATTTGGGGTGGGTAAAAGTTAATTACAAATTTTACCAAATGAACTTCTAGAAGGAATCAAAAGGAAAAAGAAAACTGACCATTTGACATGGGAAGAACCAAAACAACCCGCATGGTCACCGTGTTTGGAGGAAGCTGCAAGCGAAGAGGATAAAGCTTTCCATTCAAAGGACTCCTATTACATACAATGATTCCCTCTAGCCCTGTCTCTTCCTCAAACTTTCGAGTCAATTCTTCAACGCCATTCCCTTTGAAAATCAAAGAATACCCCTGCACATTTTCATCCAGCACCTCTCCATTATCTTCAGCAATATGGTAGTATATAATCCGCCCTTCCATCTTCGGCGACGAACCATTCGAATCATTGGACTGCAAACAAAACCAAGCACAATCGTCACCGGTAACAACGACGACAAAAATAAAAGGTTATGTAAAGTGACCACTTCAGTTTTTTCTAAGCCTTACACGGAAAATGCTAACAAGACATTATAAAGCATTTATGAATCAGAACTGTAAAGTTTATATGAAAAGCTATCAATGTGGCTCCATTAATGATTTCCAATAGCCCAACCGCAATTTCCCTTAGAAACAAGTAATTTATTTGTTCAATATCTGACCGATATTCGTAAACAGTTTTATATAAAGAGACCCTTCTCAAAAAACACGTATTTACATAAATTGGACCCAAAATATCTGCTTAACACAAACAAATTTTTACTTATCCAACTTCAAACTTATAAATAATTTGATCCCTTAAATGTATTGATTAGTCCCTTTTAGCAGTTGAATTATTACTGGTATCATTCCTTCTCCATATATTTAATACAAAACTTTATTGCTCAAATAAGGTTTCAAAGAATATCCGCAATTGTTATTTTAATCACAACATAAAAAATTAAAAAAATGGTTATAAGTAACGACAACTACAACTTTAACCACATCAGACACATTCATCACCAATTTCCTGCCATGTCAATAATCAAGATGAACCAGTAACTATGATCACAACTTCAAACCTTGACATGGAATTAATCTGGAATTCCCTGCCATGTCAAGGATTGTGTGATAAAACTTCAATTGCAATCCCAATTTAAAACCTTGTTCTTGTCCATATTACTATAGTAAAACTTCAATTCTGATAACACTAATAACACAAAAAATGCATACGAATTTTGGCCATTATGATAAAAACATAAAACTTTTACAAGATTCTCGTTAATACCTGTTCCCTCGAAAAGCTGGCAGACATGGATGGCGGCGGGGGCAGCGGTGCGCCGGCAAGGACGGGAACAGTGTTGGAAACAGGCAACGGTGGAGCAGAGGGTTTACTGCTATTTGCTGGAGAGTTGACATAAATCTCGACGACATCCACGTCCCAGAGGATCCAGTCCTGCGTGGCGGTCCTGTGCGGAATATCGTGCGTGACGGAGTTTCTCCATGGCGGCAAGCCCCCATTGGCTCGGAGGAAGTTGCCGTAACGGGTTTTGAGCTTGACACGGCCTCCATCCTTGACGGGCTCCCACTCGACGGAGGAGTCGAGCCTCTGCGGACGGGTCTGTAGGACCTTGTGGCCCGTCATGCCCAGCAGGAAGAGGTGGTTGGAGGCGGTGAGGTACTTGCCGTAACAACTCTTCAGGCGAATTATGTTGTCGTATTCGGGGACGTATTCTACCACCCAGCGCGCGCTCTTCGAGGACCCGTTGCGATCCTGCGTCACCGACTCCTCGTCGTCCTCCGCCAGCAGGTACTTGTCGTGGTGGCTGCGGAGGCGAACCGCCTTGGCGCGGTGGAAGAAGTCCATGCCAGTTCTGAACTTGTTCGAACTTATTGTCTGCATGTGATCAGAAGATGAATGTTTAGTGACTCAGAGGAATGAATGGGAATTGGTATTTATGTGTGTACGAGGGAACGGGACCATTTTATTGGCTTGTGAAACTGTCACAATTATTTTATTTTATTATTGTCATGGTTTGGGTAAGACTTAGTGTGCGTGACTGGTTGTTCTTGATGGATGGTGAAAAAAAGGGCAGAGGGAGTCAGCAGTGGCGACTTTGGGAGACAACGCGTTTGGCTGCACGCGGGTATTGCCTGGGGGGAAGAGCCTAATCTCATTCATCTCTTTTCGTTTCGGTTTCGGTTCCGTGTTGCGTGCGTCTTGCGAGAAAGAAATAAAGGTGAGAGATCATGGACATTATTGATCATTCTCACGTGAGTTTGATAGAAATTATTACATGACGCAGGCATGATACATATTAATTTTTACATTAAGTATAATTGAAATAATGTTACTTTTAATTTAAAATATTTAAATACTTATCGCCTAAAAAATAATTGAAACCGTAAATACACAGTGATCCTAAATTTATCATGCATTGGAGGACAAGGCATATGGGAATGCTTAATCAAGTTGAGTTTCTTAACTGGAAATGAGATATCGGAATTATTGAGATAACTTGAGAGCCGACTTTTAAGATTATTTTCTTTTTTCAAAAGTAATAATTGGTGAAATTATCATGTTATGATACAGACAGAAATTGAGTATACCACACACTTCTTCAAAGCGGGGAATTTTCCAACTAATATCAAACATATCCTAATTGTGGCTTCTGTAAGGCAACGACTTAACATGCCAATGGTAATTTCCCATAAAAAAAAAATAGAAAATAATATGTAGCTATTTGTGTAATTGAGCTTATGTTAAAATTAATATTATAGCGTTTTTAGTATTAAAATAATATATGCTTATTTACTTGATTAACTGAGTTACATTGACTGCGAAATTGAAAAGTTTGTGTTTACAAATATTTGATTAATCATTTAAAAATCTAACACATTATTTCCCTCCAGGTGTAACAATTTGTCAAGAACAATGTTATATCTTTCAATAAATTTTCCTACAAATGCATTTAATATTTATCAAACAAAGAAACTAAGTAAAAAATATTCAAACAAAGATATTTTAAGAAGATTTAGAATTATTATTTTTTTAATGAGCAATCAAGCATACAATAATCTGAACATTAACCCAATTAGATATTGATTAAAAGTTGTAACAAAAATGCACAGCCCAATCCAACTCATTTTTTAACTATTGCAGATAAAGTTGAATTGATGACTCGGCCCAATTTGAATAAATGATTGACAGTGAGTCAGTGGGGATTGGATATACTCTGGAATCTAGGTTAAAGTGCTGACTCAGCCCAATTAAATCTAGTCACAATCAGCGACTGATAGTTGGATATAGTATGGCATGCTATGGAACTTAATAATGTGCGGTTTGGCGTCTTTTTGAGTATGCCAAATAAATTAAAAATAGAGTATCAAAAGGGTCTTCCACTGGAAGGCAACTAACCGAAAACCCCAATCCAAAAAAGAAAAGAATATAAAATAGTAAAAGCAAAAAGGAACTTAAGAGACACTAATACTGGAAGGAAAATAAACAATACGTGGATTGGAAGCTAGGGAGATTCGCATAGAGACAAAAGCCACTCAAAAGTATGAAACTAACATCTACACAAGATGTCTTTCTTTGACAAAGAGACAATGTTATATTGAATTTATTTCTTATATGGAGATGAATAAATTGTTGTTATCTTGTATATTCACCACTTTCTAGTCCCAATTACTACTGAAAACCCGCCACCACACAATAGCTATTTTCGACTTCTAGTCCATGTCACGACAGACAAAATGAATGTGCATCTCCCCTGCGCATGATATATATATTGGCTTCTCTCTCGCACTCATAAGTGTTATATCCATACACTAATTGTCTTGACGTAGACATATAACTCCTACTAAGAATAAGTAGCGTATAGACAACTTTAGTTAAATGTTATATCCCAATATAGTCTATTTCCAAGTCACTAAATCACAACGCAAGTTATTAATTAGAAACACTACAACATTCTTATGACCTTAGTTCATGTAGAGCTTTATTTTTTGTTTTATCAGAAGATCAAATGTAGACACTGTTGATCTTAACCAAAAAGAGAAAAAGGACTGGGCGTTGAAGAAAGCAATTGACTGAGGCAATTGCATAACTCCCACACCAAGGAAACATTTTAAGAGAATAACTTTGCGATGTGGTAAGGATTCATTTTAACAACACTTAGAATGCTGTTAAATGTACACTCTAGTTTGGGTGAAAGAAAAGAGAAAGATAAAAGAATTGGTAACAGTAAATGAAGAGAGAAATCTTTCTATTATTTTGTAACAAAGGATTATGTAACAAGTCTCACATTGGGGGAGGTCTCCTTACCAGGGAGGCCTTATAAGGTAGGAGGTTCTCCAACCTCTTGAGCTAGCTTTTGAGGGATGGTTCCCCTCTTAGCCTTATGGTTGTTACATTGGTGTTTTCATTGAGAGCCAGCCAACTCGAGAAGGGCTACCCACGGAGGGTTCTGACCGCCGGAGGGTTCTGACCACTGGAGGGTTCTGACCGGTAAGAAAGCCGAGTAAAGTGCCAATGAGTGAAGTGTCGGTGAGTGAAGTGTCGTGGAGTGCAGCCATCGAAGACGCTGGCTTTCGAACGGGGTGGTATTATAACAAGTCCCACATTGGGGAGGTCTCCTTACCAGGGAGGCCTTATAAGGTGGGAGGTTCTCCAACCTCTTGAGCTAGCTTTTGAGGGATGGTTCCCCTCTTAGCCTTATGGTTGTTACAATGGTGCTTTCATTGAGAGCCAGTCAACTCGAGAAGGGCTACCCACGGAGGGTTCTGACCGTCGGAGGGTTCTGACCACTGGAGGGTTCTGACCGGTAAGAAAGCCGAGTAAAGTGCTAGTGAGTGAAGTGCCGGTGAGTGAAGTGTCGTGGAGTGCAGTCATCGAGGACGCTGGCTTTCGAACGGGGTGGTATTGTAACAAGTCCCACATTGGGGAGGTCTCCTTACCAGGGAGGCCTTATAAGGTAGGAGGTTCTCCAACCTCTTGAGCTAGCTTTTAAGGGATGGTTCCCCTCTTAACCTTATGGTTGTTACATTGGTGCTTTCATTGAGAGCCAGCCAACTCGAGAAGGGCTACCCACGGAGGGTTCTGACCGCCGGAGGGTTCTGACCACTGGAGGGTTCTGACCGGTAAGAAAGCCGAGTAAAGTGCCAACGAGTGAAGTGCCGGTGAGTGAAGTGTCGTGGAGTGCAGCCATCGAAGACGCTGGCTTTCGAACGGGGTGGTATTGTAACAAGTCCCACATTGGGAAGGTCTCCTTACCAGGGAGGCCTTATAAGGTGGGAGGTTCTCCAACCTCTTGAGCTAGCTTTTGAGGGATGGTTCTCCTCTTAGCCTTATGGTTGTTACAATGGTGCTTTCATTGAGAGCCAGCCAACTCGAGAAGGGCTACCCACAGAGGGTTCTGACCTACTGGAGGGTTCTGACCGGTAAGAAAGCCGAGTAAAGTGCTAGTGAGTGAAGTGCCGGTGAGTGAAGTGTCGTGGAGTGCAGTCATCGAGGACGCTGGCTTTCGAACGGGGTGGTATTGTAACAAGTCCCACATTGGGGAGGTCTCCTTACCAGGGAGGCCTTATAAGGTAGGAGGTTCTCCAACCTCTTGAGCTAGCTTTTGAGGGATGGTTCCCCTCTTAGCCTTATGGTTGTTACATTGGTGCTTTCATTGAGAGCCAGCCAACTCGAGAAGGGCTACCCACGGAGGGTTCTGACCGCCGGAGGGTTCTGACCACTGGAGGGTTCTGACCGGTAAAAAAGCCGAGTAAAGTGCCAATGAGTGAAGTGCCGGTGAGTGAAGTGTCGTGGAGTGCAGCCATCGAAGACGCCGACTTTCGAACGGGTGGTATTGTAACAAGTCCCACATTGGGGAGGTCTCCTTACCAGGAAGGCCTTATGGTAAGAAAGTCAGCGTCCTCGATGACTGCACTCCACGACACTTCACTCACCGGCACTTCACTCACTAGCACTTTACTCGGCTTTCTTACCGGTCAGAACCCTCCAGTGGTCAGAACCCTCCGGTGGTCAGAACCCTCCGTGGGTAGCCCTTCTCGAGTTGGCTAGCTCTCAATGAAAGCACCATTGTAACAACCATAAGGCTAAGAGGGGAACCATCCCTCAAAAGCTAGCTCAAGAGGTTGGAGAACCTCCTACCTTATAAGGTCTCCCTGGTAAGGAGACCTCCCCAATGTGGGACTTGTTACAATACTACCCCGTTCGAAAGCCAGCGTCCTCGATGGCTGCACTCCACGACACTTCACTCACTGGCACTTCACTCACTAGCACTTTACTCGGCTTTCTTACCGGTCAGAACCCTCCGGCGGTCAGAACCCTCCGTGGGTAGCCCTTCTCGAGTTGGCTGGCTCTCAATGAAAGCACCAATGTAACAACCATAAGGCTAAGAAGGGAACCATCCCTCAAAAGCTAGCTCAAGAGGTTGGAGAACCTCCTACCTTATAAGGCCTTCCTGGTAAGGAGACCTCCCCAATGTGGGACTTGTTACAATACCACCCCGTTCGAAAGTCAGCGTCCTCGATGGTTGCACTCCACAACACTTCACTCACCGGCACTTCACTCACTAGCACTTTACTCGGCTTTCTTACCGGTCAGAACCCTCCAGTGGTCAGAACCCTCCGGCGGTCAGAACCCTCCGTGGGTAGCCCTTCTCGAGTTGGCTGGCTCTCAATGAAAGCACTATTGTAACAACCATAAGGCTAAGAGGGGAACCATCCCTCAAAAACTAGCTCAAGAGGTTGGAGAACCTCCTACCTTATAAGGCCTCCCTGGTATGGAGACCTCCCCAATATGGGACTTGTTACATATTAATGTCAAATTCATATGACGAAGCTCTTACTGCGCATGTGGACCATTTACTTAACCATTTTTTAGTAGTGCATTTACTGTTTGCACTGCGGAGTGTGAACGCATTTGTTTATGTATGAAGTGTGTGATCACATTTTCCTTGGTGGAGAAAAGTTGGTGAAGGCATGAAACAACACATAGAGACTCAAATTCAACCAAGTGGCAATCAATTGGTAGTGGAAGACTCTAATGGTAAACAGGGACGAGCCTATAACACTCTATGTGTGAAAGTCCAAATTTTCGCTGGAGATTCGTGAAAAACAAATTAATGAACATTATAAAAGCTAATTGGAGCACTGGTGTTTTACTGGAAATTGGAAACGAACTAAATAATCGAGTTTTTCTGCTATAGGAATTTGTTAACAAAACCCTTCCTATAGCCCTCTACGAGTTTTTCTACCATAGGAATTTGTTGACAAAACCCTTCCTATAGAAACCTATTGTAGTGTTTCTACTGTTGAAGTATGTTTACAAACCCTTCTTATGTATAGAACTAAAGCACCCAAACACCTAACGAGTGTCCATTGCAACCACGGAATGAGACGGAGAACTTGTCGAGGAGGAGATATAGCTTCAATCAGGTCCAATTATTTATTAAATAAGTTGAGACATTTTCTAAAAGTTATTTAATTAAAAGGATAAGACCTCAGACTATCCAAATAAGACAATCTATTTAGGTAAATGACAACAATTACCTCTATAATAATAATAATAATAATAATAATAGACTGTAATATTTTGAAACAACTTATTTCTTAATTTACGTCGAACTAATCTATACAAAAACATAAATTGATTAATTTATTAAAAAATGTAGAGTGAAAATTGATTAATGTAAAAAATAATAAGATATCGTGTATTCATTAGAAAGAAAATAATAAAAATATAAATGAAAAAAGTGAAGAAAAAAGAAAAATAATATTTTTTAAAATCATCTCGTTTCATCTTTCCGGAATAAATATATAAAATTTTTATAATTTTACAAGTATATATATTTTTAATTTTTATTTATTTATTATTTTTAAAAATAATAATTCATTTTTCATGTCAATTTCTTTCTAAAGGAACAACTTTTTTTTTTTACACTTTCTTTCTTTATAGACAAATAACTCAACTCATTTATGAGAATTAATTCCCATAAAGGAAACTGGAAAAAAAAATGAACTTTCGTAATAAATTAAACTTTCAAAAAAATACCCAATAAATTGTAATAGGTAAAATTAAGTTTTACAATAGTTATTTTAAAAGTTATACTGGAAAGATTTCTGATTAATGCTATACATAAAACTTAATGGTTTTCTTTATATATTTGGATTTTTATCATTATAAATATTTATTAAATATGAATTCCTATAATTTATATCATAAAGGTTTTGGTTTATAGAACATTAATTTTATGTCTAATAAGAATTATTTTATTAATAAATAAAATTACAATAATAAAGATTTTCCTTATTAATGATACAATAATTAATATTTAATGATCAAATTTCAAAAACATATAAAATTATATATAAACATTTTAAAAAATATGAAAACAAAATATCAAATTAATAAAAAATCATGTAATCTATAATCGATTTCAAATTTATGCGTACAACAACCCATTAATGTGTTTTTATAAAACATATAATTCCACAATATTAACAAAGTCAACTTAGTAAAAAAACTAATTAGAATACATTAATACATTTTTAATATTAGTTTTCAATCATGGATTATTATATATATTAATTATTCACTTTTTGTAATAATTATTTTAAAATATATTCAGAATCATTTTAATTAAATAATAATGTAAAGCTTTTCAATTAATAATTCTTAAAATTAAACTGACGAAGAAGTTTATTTGGGTAAATTTTAGGAAGAAAACTGGCATTCAATCTCGTTAGTCCAAAATATAGACAGGTTGGGGAAAAATTATAGGAAGATAACATTTTTTTTAGTTTTTCTTTTTTCTTTTTTCTGTTTTTAAACGCTTCAACTCAACCAGGTTGGGGAAGACCAATCACTGTGAACGTTTGTTTCAAAGAATAGGCCATTCAGTAAAACTACAGCCTTTTATAAAGAAAACTATATTTTTTTCCTAAAATGCTGAAGTATTTATAAATTGAGTCTAAAGTCTAATGTTTAAAAGATTACTAATCACAAATTATGTGTTCTTACGATAATTATACTGTATAAAGTTATTAAAGTTATATAATATCAAATAATTATTAACATTAATAGACACGCTTCATAAAAGTCGTTCAAATAATCTTAAAAGTCATCCATCAAATCAAGATAAATAAATTCAATTTATTACTTCATTAAATTTCAATTAAATTCTAATGAAATATTATTGAAAAACGAAAAAGAATACAAATACTTAATGAATAGGTCTTATTGATCAATATTGAAATATTGACAAATAATGTTAGCATTACTTCTTCTTTTTCTCTCCTTTGAAAGTGTTGAAATGTATGAATGAAATACATTTTATATTAAAAAACATTAATATAATTAAGAATCTAAAAACTCCCGTATGGTTGGTTTCTGAATAGTTGAAATGAAAAACTAAATCTCATATTTTAAATTAATGTTTTGTGATTATTAATTTAGCTAAAATTATCTAGAATCACTTAGAAAAAAAAAAAACTACCATCAACGTAAAAAAATCAACGCACAAAAAATTCACGCAAAAATCGCGAAACGAAAAGTCCATAAACCAAAAAAATCAAAACGCACCTGTAGCATCAGCTTCGAGTTCCGCCTCGCAGGCGACGAATTGAGCGCGAAAACCGACATCGGTGACGCTGTTTCCGAATCGACGGAGACATCATCGGAAGCGAGAGACGAAACGACGCTCTCGCACAACTCATCCACCAATTCCTCCACCGCCTCCACAGTCTCCACATCCCACAGAACCCAATCCTTAGTCGCCGAACTGTGCGGCTCGTCAACCGTCACAGCGTTCCGCCACGGCGGAGTCCCTCCGTTCGCGCGCAGGAACCTCCCACTCCAACACTTCAACCTCACCTGGAACCCGTCGCGTATCACTTCCCACTCGTGCTTGAAATCCGCGCCGGGCTCCAACTCCGTCTGGAGCACCTTCTTCCCCGTCATCCCTAACAGAAACGGCGCCTCCGAGGCCGTTAAGTACCTTCCGTGGTAGCTCCTCAGGCGCACCTTTTTGGTTCCTCCGTCCGTGATCTCCTCCACCGTCCACCACGCTCCCCGGCCGTAGGCCTTGCGGCTCTGATGAACGCGGTTGCCATCGGCATCGGCCACGAGATACTTGTCAAGGTGGCTCCGCAGCCTCACCACGTTGGTTTTGGTGAAAAACTCCATCGTGTTTTGATCGATGTGTGATGAAGCTGAAAACTATGACTATAGATAATAGGGGTGTGTGTCTTAGTGTGAGAAACAGAGAAAAAAAAAAAGTGATCGTAACTGTTTGATCATAAATACCGGTGATAGATATACAATGCATCCAGGTGCACCGGTTCAATCGTGAAACTGCTGTTACATATTATTTATTATATGTTGTTTGTAAATTATCTTCCCATCTTAAATGTTACAAAGAGGAATGGGTTTTAGTTGTGAGAATTTTTTTTACTTTTAAAAGTTGATTTTAGTTTAGCATAGTTTTTACTTTTAAAAAATTGTTTTTTTATTATTAAGTTCAAAATAAAATATTTTAAAAAACGTATTCTATTAAAATTAGTTTAAACATATGCTTCTAGGATACTTTAACGAGGTCTGTGTTTTGAAGATTTAATTTGAAAATCAAATATTGGTAATCAATCCAAACACAAACTAAGTTTTTAAGATTAGAAGTGGACTTACCATTTCTCATAAAAGTCTTTTCAAAAGTCTTTTTCACTTGTATTCTAGGTCTTTCAAACTTTTTTTTAATATTTTTTTTAGTTTCTAAATAAAAATTTCAATATTTGTGTCCTCGCATTATTCTTCTATTAACGAGTTTAGTATTTGTGATCCAATATTCTATTTGTAAAAAATAACTTATTTTAAAGTCTACTATGGCACTTTATAAAAACAATTTCGCTAAAATATTTTCAATTCTTAAATAGTTACATCATGTGTACGCGGTATATGTACAAACACGGATACAAGTTATCGAGTGACGAATTAAAAACAAAAATAAGTAATTTCTCATTAAAAACTGATAATATCAATACATTTTTTTTAATAAAAACTATAATTATTTTGCACAAAAGTTTATTACTGACATATTTAATTTTTTTTAAACGGTTATAAAAAAAATATAACTAATAGAGTATTTGATAAAGAAAGGATGATTCACATGTATTCATGTGCTATACGAAATATATATAGTCAGATTAAAATAAAAAATATCACTTTGTTAATATTCCGCAACTACTTAAGAATAAGGAAATAGAAGTTTAATAAAAGTAGATGACTTATTCAAAGGTAACAATCTCCAATATTCTAATAAATGTTAGAGGCTTATTTAAATATATCTAATATTCTCACCCTTAAACTGAATCATTACACATATTCAATTTACATTTGCGACAACTCCTAACTTCCTTCTCATTTGAACAAAATCATCCCGTTTGAGCGGTTTTGTCATGACATCAGCTACTTGTTCTTGTGAACTACAATGTTGTAGCTCAACAGTTTCATTCCTTGTAAGATGCCTTGTCATGACAATATATAATAGTAGGGTTTATTTGATTTCTTCCTACTACCTCAAGTATTCGTCTAAGTCATACAACCTAACAAGAACTTGCAGCTGCTGCTATAAATTTCGCTTCAGTTGTTGATAGACTTACCACTAGTTGCTTCTTCGAACTCCATGAGATAGCAACCTTACTCATCATGAAAACATAGCCTGATGAGTTTTTTCTGTTTTCAGCGTCATTCGCATAATCATTATCTATATATCCAATTAGATCTGTTCCTACATTTCTTTGATAGAACAATCCCAATTTGCAAGTTCCTTTGAGATAGCATATGATTCGTTTTCCTACTTGAAAATGAAGCTCCTTTGGATTTTCCATAAATCGACTAACTTGACCCACACTGTACATAATGTATGGTCGTGTGGCAGTTGCATACATTAAACTACCAACCATATGCTTGTAGAGTGTTTTTTCAACACCTTTTCCTTCTTCATCCTTGCCTAATTTGCTTCCTGGAACCATCAGATTATGAGCAGGATTTGAATTGCTCATTCCAAATCTCTCTAGAAGATCTATCACATACTTCTTTTGACACACAAAAATACCATTAGATTTTTGTGTCGCTTTAAGACCGAGAAAGAATTTCATTTCTCCCACGTCCGTCATAGCAAATTCTGACTGCATTGATTTCTTGAACTCTATCATCAACTTATTGTCATTCCCTGTATAAATCAAATCATCCACATATAAACTTACCACCATAATACTGGTCTCCTCCACCTTAGTGAATAAAGTGGGTTCATACTCACATTTTGCAAATCCACAGCTCAGAAAATAGCTTTCAATGCAACTGTACCAAGCCTGGGGGGCCTGTTTTAAGCCATATAGAGCACGATTCAGTTTGTAGACTTTTCCTTCTTTCCCCTTTTTTTCGAATCCTTGTGGTTGCTCAACAAAAACATCTTCAGTTAATTAATTTTCCATGCAAAAAGGTAGATTTGACATCCAATTGGTAGATAGGTCATCCATGATGAGCAACTATAACAATGACCAATCGAATAGTCTCCGTGCGTGCTATAGGTGCGAACACTTTCATGTAATCTACTCCATATTCTTGAGTATATCCCCGAACCACCAATCGTGATTTATGCTTACTAACATCTCCTTTCTCATCACGCTTAGTTTTGAAGATCCATTTAACCCCAATCTTCTTAGTACCTCCTGGAAGCTCAGTTAAATACCAAGTTCCATTTCTTTCTATAGCTTCAATTTCTTCTTTCATGGATTTTCTCCAAATTGGATTCTTTTCTGCGTCTTCATAGTGGATAGGATCATTTCCGCTGTCAACAGTCAAATGTGACTCAAAATCATCATTAGATAACCCTTTACCTATTACATAATCATGCATCTAAGAAGGTTGTGTGTGCTGCCTTCTTGGAAGTTGTTGTTCCTAAGCCTCATCTTCTTGCTAGACCTCTTCTTGGAAGTGTCTCAAACTCCTTCCTCAATGCCTGTAATTGAGCTCGTTTAACTCGCGTCGAACCTTAGTACTTCGTCTTCATAGAGTCCCATATGTCTTTGACGGTGTCCTTTGGGAGAATCGTCTCGAGAATGGAACGATCCAGGGCTTGAAAAAGATAATTCTTTGCTTTCAAATCCTTAAGCTTTTGTTCATCAATCTGACGCAGTTGCGCCTCAGTTGGTGTTGTTCCAGTAGATACAACTAAAATTCCAGTTTCCACCAAGCCCCAATATTCTTTTGAACGTAGAAAATTTTCCATCAATATTGCCCAATGATCATAGTGATCATCGAACTTAGGAATTGTAGGTTGCACAAAAGTATTGTCGGTTGTCATCACTCTCTGTCTGTCTTACATATTAGCTAGTTGCAGCTATGTTGTATCAGGCCTACGAGAGGCTCTGATACTAGAATATTATAAAAGAAATATAGTTAATAGAGTATTTGATAAAGAAAGGATGATCCACATATATTCATGTGCTATATGAAATATATATAACCAACTTATAAACAGAAATTATCATTTTGCTGATATCCCACAACTACACAAGAATAAAGAAACAGAACTCTAATAAAATTAGATGACTTATTCCAAGGTAACAACACTGCTGGAGGCTTATTCAAATATATTTAATATCTAATAGAAACAATATGTTTTATATTTCTTCCATTCGTACATATTTAACACTTTCTGATTATATTTATACACAAACAATAGTATGTAAATAAATAAAAATAAACTTATTATCAAACAATATATTTTCTCGAAAAAAAAGTTAGCAACATTATAAATAAATTTTCAAATCATTTTAAACAAATTTACCAAGCTAGGATCAAACATGTAGAATATGTATTAATTTTTTAGGTGAAAAAAAATGAAGGGAAAAATATACTTATTGTTAAAGAAATTAACATGAAAAAAAATTATTTAATTAAAATGTAATATTTATATAATTACAAAATTATCCATACAAGATTATTTATTAATGGAATTTTTTTATATAAAATAACGTTGAATTTTCAATTCTTTTCTCAGAGAAAGTAATCCCCAAACTCTCTCTCTCTCTCTCTCTCTCTCTCATATATATATATATATATATATATATATATATATATATATATATATATATATATATATTACGGTGAAAAATAACTCTTTTTGTTTTGGCTTTTTTATTGTTATTGAATAGAAAAATTTGTTACTAACAGCTTATATATTTTTGTCGATCACTTCACCTTCTACATTTTCCGTATAAACGAATGAACCTTTTCAAAAGAAATATGTTAATTTTATGGTAGTTTGTCACTATATATACCATATGAAAATAAACAGCCACCATCAAATACCTTATGAATCATTTCAATTATTACATTATGGAAGTTATTTTAGAATAAGATAAATAATATTAATAAATTTTTATGACTAATAATATTGCTATTATTTTTCATATCACTTTAAATTTGAACATCATGTAATTAGATTTTAAATATCTATAAATATGTTATTTTTAATTTTAGTTTCTATAAATATAACTTATGCTATTTGTTATCTTGCCATTTTGTTGCAAATTTGAAAATATATAAATTTTCATTTTAGCTTTTAATAATTTTCGTGAACATAACTAATTTAATAAATTTTCTAATTACGAAATCATATAAGTAAGTTTAATAAAAATAATTAACAACAAATACCAAAATAAATAAAAGCCAAGGACAAAAACTTAAAAAAATAATAATAAAAGACTTCTGTTTTATTATTCGAGAATGTATTTAAGATCTATTATCAATTCAGAATTTTCAGATTTTTGGTATTGAACTGAAGAATTGAGTACAACAAATACACATTGCGTTGGAATTGAATCAAATAATTGTCTCACCCCGTCACCGCATTCACCCACGAGGCTGATAAAAAATACTTTAGCATTCACATTGTTCGCCATCCATTGATATTGTCGTGGGGTTTAGCAGATCGTACCACACGGCTCAACCACACTAGATAATTTTTTAATATAACTTTTTTTTTATCTGAGATATAATATCTCGGGGACCACATAGCAAATTTAGACAGAACCAGGACTACTAGGTGATGGTAATTAATTCCAACCGTTGATTAGTTTATAATTACATTGCAGAAATGATGTTATGTGCTCATGCCCTAACTA